AGGTGTTGTAGGTCTTCATAGAACCGGTCCACTTCAGCCTCTTCTGCATCAGTGGTTGGGGCATACACTTGAATTACTGTGATGTTGAATGGTTTGCCTTGGAATCGGACAGAAATCATTCTGTCATTTTTGAGATTGTATCCCAGTACTGCCTTTTGCACTCTCTTGTTGACTATAAAGGCCACACCATTTTTTCTACGAGATTCCTGGCCACAGTAGTAGATATAATGGTCTTCTGAGTTAAAGCGTCATATCTTTTAGCCTTTTAATACTGTCCATGGGGTTTTCTTGGCAAACATACTGGAGTGGGTTGCCATTACCTTCTCCAGGTGGATCACGCTTGGTCTGAGTTCTCTGCTGTGGCCTGTCTGTCTTGGGTGGCCCCTCACGGCATAGCCCACAGCTTCACTGAACTACACAAGCCCCCTCGCCACGACAAGGCAGTGATCCATGAGGGGGTCCTGACCTTTACAGGCCAGTAAAACTCAGAAACCTATGCTTGAGTGTTTAAGCAGAAACTGAAAAGAAAGCCTCTCTCCTTAAAGTTTTAACGACCTTGTTGAATAGCAGAAACATTTACTTGTTGCCAAGTCTGTACAAATGCAAAGTTAAAGTAAAGGTTTTTTAAAATTATTATTATTATCTGTTCACCTCAGACATCCTACACCTGATTCCACCTGATCTTTTCTCCTCCAAGTTATATAACTTGGTCCATTCTAGGATCCTAGCAAGCTATTGTTATGCATCCTCAAGCTAAGTCTTTTTGCAAGTACAGTTCAGGCTCAATACATAACAGTCTGCCATTTAGGAAGGTGACTTTGTCTCTTCACTCAGTTCCCTGGGTTGGGCCAGCATCTCTCTCTAAATATATAAAATAGAGCATCTGGGTGGAACAGCCATAAACAAACAAATAAGGACTGCAATCACACATACAATTAGCCGCGCCATAGGCACGAATGCCGGGTGGATTTAAAGGGTGCAATCAGGCGCAAACATCTGGGAAGCATCACGCACCTGTCGGCAACCTGTTTTGCTCCACTGCAGAAGCAGAGTAAAAATACACTAGGGAAAGTCCAGTAGCAAACAGGTTGCTATGGGCCAGGAACGAACTTTCCCCTGTGTGATCGGTCCAGCACGCTCCAATAGCATCAGGATGGTCTGATCAGGCCATCCCAACTCCATGCCGTTGTTTTTTTCCACGTTTCAGTATGTGTTATATACTGATACAGTTCCTTGCTACACAGGGCGGCCAGAGTAAAGGGGAGATAGGGGTAGAATACAATAGACGATCGAGATCCTGGCCGTAACTTATCGGGATGTGAGGTGTGTGTAAATAACCTATTGTTGGGAGTGGGTGTGTTTGGAGTGTGCCATTTGATGGGAATATAAGCAGGGCTGTGGCCCTGCCAGAGTTGTCTTTAGTTTGAGTTATGCACAATAAATTATGAGCTGATCACTATTCGCGTGTCAAACCCAGTATATTTCAGTATGCGCATCATCGCACACTGCATAGGGAGCACTCAGTGCAGAGATTTGAATCATCGATCCCTCTTTGAAGTGCACAGGAAACATGTGGCAAGCCCCCCCCCCAATTCACCCGTGGTTGCATCTGATCACGCAGTGGCGGGCTGCCCCCGCAGCTCCCAAGGACTGTGCGAAAGCGCAACTGTGAGTCAAATTCCCATGAAGCAAATAGCCTCACTTCCCCCCTGCATTATCTCATGCGTGTGACTGCCACCAAGAAGAAGAAAAGATAAAGGGGCTACTCCACAAGAAAGAAGACAGAAGGGGAAACTTGTGTTTGAGGGAGGGAAGAGGGTGAGATCGTCATAAATATTCAATCACTGCTTGAAAAAAAGACCTGGAAAAGCCCTGGTGGTGTGGGTGGGGGCCCTGCTTTGGGACTGGGGCAGGTAAACTTGCCCTATGGAAGCCCCAGTACTGCTGTGATGTATCAGCAGCTGCAGCAGTAATGGAGAAACTGCACAAACCTGCCTATGTGGAGAATATCTATGACAATGACTCTAGGTTCTCCTCAGGCATAACACAACTATAGTCCTATTAAAGAATTCATTTTTCATCCATTTTACCTTTTTATTACACACAGAGAACATTAACTAACAACAGAATATTAAAAGACCTGCAGTAAATTCTACATTGATAATTATAAGAGAAAACGTTTTCCTTAAGTCTGCTTGTTCCCAGGTACAAAAGAAAAGAGTTTTAGGGTCACAAAGAGTTAATTTTTTATTCAAATGTGTCATGTATATATGTTTATAAAACATATGTCCATGTTCCAATCATCCTAAACATCACTTAGCTGTCCTATTTGTTTGGAGTCACATCATTACCTAGTCTTCTGACACCTAAAATTAAGTGCTCTATATTAATGTGCATACCTTGTTAACACCTTTTTATTACTTTTAATCAGGGCTATTTTTGTGCAGGAATCTGGCTGGTTTCAGAGTTGGCCATGCCCACTACAGCCAAAACCTCTGTGTACGTGGCTACAGAGGGAAGGCCTAGAGAGTAACACACACACACCCCGGCGACTCCAGGACAGGCGGGCCGGGGGGGACTGGAGGGATTTAAATGCCTCTCCGTGTTTTCCCCGGCCTGTCCAAGGGCCAGCTTGGCCGGGCTTCCCGCAGCCAGGGGCACCCGGGCAAGCCAAGGGAAGGCATGGGGTGTGGCCTAATATGCTAATAAATTCCTGCTCTTAACCAAGTTGCCTCTTCGGACTGATGTCTGGCTTCAAGTTTGTCAGTCAAAAAAAGTCCTGCTTTTAATCATGACCGTTTATGATTAAATCTTCATCTTCTGTTGCTGTGATTCTCTACTGCAGAACACATTGCTCTGGCATTAAGGCCCTTTCTGTTCATTAAAGACACCAGTCTTCCATGAGTGGGAACATCTTGAGCTGAAGGAATGCACGCCACAGTGGAGGATCACCTATGCAACAGAGGACAGCACAGAGCGCAAGCAGAAGCCAGAAGAGATCAGCTCTGCTAACTTATACCAATAGCTGATGTAGGATGTACCTTTGGAAAGTAATTAATCATAACTTTAGGAATGTGTCTGGTTCTTAGACCCCAGAAGAGTACCTATATGCCTGAAAAGATCTCTAACTCAAATTGACTCAATTAGAGTCCAGTGATACCTTTAAGACCAGCAAAGTTTTATTCAAGGCATGAGCTTTCATGTGCATGCACACTTTTTCAAATACATTGGAATGGTAGGTAAGGTTCAAACTTATAGACAGCACATAAAAGCTCATACCTTGAATAAAACTTTGTTGGTCTTAAAGGTGCCACTGGTCTCTAAATTTGTTCTACTGCTTCAGACCAACCCGGCTGACCACCTGGATCGATCAAATTGACTCGGCTACTTCCGGCTGCTGTTCTGATCATGCCGATCATGTGGCTGCACTCAATTTTGTTTTGCTGTGCTAAGCGTCTGTTGCTGGGGTCGCCATGAGTTGGCTGCAACTTGAGGGCACTTTACACACACATAATCAAAGGTAGGGACTTGCGAGGACTCATCTGAGGTGGAAAATCCCATCCCTCCCATTTCCCCCCACTCTTTTTACACTTGCTCACCATCGAGCCTCCCGTTGCTTTCTCCTTGTCTTTCCCCCTAATCTACTACCATCACTGCTGCTTTCTACCTTCTCCGGCTCTTTCATAACTAGCAATTTCTCTCCCTCCCTTCAGACACTCCTAACTACTTTCTTTAAATGCCTGGCTGTACAGGGTTGCTAGATTAGCCCAGAGTTCTGACCTGGACCTCATGAGATCTCAGTCCACATTTTTCTTTTGAAACCGTGCTGTGTGTACCCATGAACATACTGCTTCAGAGTCTTAAATTGCACCATTGTTTTTAAACTTCCTAGAATTTTCTGCAAAGTCTGTTTGCTGAGAGGTCTCTCCTTTCTGTAACCGCTGCTGATGTGTGGATTTATTGATCTGTCCTCTGAGGCAAACTTCAGAATTCAATGTATGAGGAATTCTTGACATCTGGACTAGAATATGTTCAATTCATTTGCCATTTTTAGTTTACTCTGGCTGCCCCACCTTGAGTGTTTTCTCTGAGAATAAAATTGTACTGAGTTCAGTGGGATTTCCCTCACAGCAAAGGCTTAGGCTTGCAGTCTTACCTACACAGGGCAGTAAAATGTGCGTACCTTTGCTTTCTTCTTTGCTTAAGGCTTTTGTGCTTGACAGAAACACCACAAATCTTTAGGTGTAGCTGCAGAGAATGTATATTTAGCTTTTCAGTTACAGCTTACTACACCCCATGGTGTTAAAAGAACTCATTTTGTTCATCCTGTTCCTTAATATTTTCTTGTGACCACCTGACTTCAGTGAAACTTGACTAAAGCTGCTGTCATCAGCAAAGTTACAGAATGGAAGCTGTCGAGTACACCGTCCTTACCATGGTATGTATCACCACTCACGCACACACCTCCAGGTATGTTGGGAGGACACTGTAGGGTTGCCAACTCCTCCTTGGGAAATACCTGGAGGATTTGGGGTGGAGCTTGGGGAGGGCCGGGTTTAGGGAGAAAAAGACTTCAGCAGGGTATAATGCCATCTCTTGGCGGTGCACATTCACTCATAGACTGTGTATTTTCATTCTGAAAGAACCAGTAGCCAGTAGGATACTTTTATAATAATGAGCACAGCAGTCTTGTTTTAAGCAGTTGGGTTCTATCATGCCTATGTATCCTTCTTCTTGTTTTTATTTTTATTATTAAATGTATGTGATGCCTTCAGAGTGCAAGAAAACAGGTCCCTGCCTTGAGCTGCTTACAGTCAACAGTTTGACATAGAGGGACAATGGGGGAGGCGAGGAATTATAAAAGGAAGACTATCAATTCATTCCTTTTGCATGTACTTAAGCTTAATATCAGAAGAGAAAGGGAGCTAAAGGGCTGCACCACAAGAGCTTCATGGAGAAGGTAGGTTGTAAGGAGGAATATGAAGGGGAGGGGAGGCATCATGCAGATTTTTGGAGAGGCAGCTGCAGATCTAAGGAGCAGCAAAGGAGAGAAGGCAGAGTTGTTTGAGGAAGTGGGAGACCTTCAGAAAGCTGAAGGTAGTGGAGCTGGAAGAGTGAAGGTCTGGGGCAGGGACTGCAAACAGATAACCACACCTTAAAAAGGATATTATAGCTTTGGAAAAAGTGCCGAAAAGGGCAACTCGAATGATAAAAGGGTTGGAACACGTTCCCTATGAGGGAAGGTTAAGGCGTTTAGGGCTCTTTAGCTTGGAGAAACGACGACTGAGGGGTGACATGATAGAGGTTTATAAGATTATGCATGGGAAAGAGCAGGTAGAGAAAGAGGTACTTTTCTCCCTCTCTCACAATACAAGAACTTGTGGGCACTCCATGAAATTGCTGAGCGGTCGGGTTAGAACGGATAAAAGGAAGTACTTCTTCACCCAAAGAGTGATGAACACATGGAATTCACTGCCACAGGAAGTGGTGGCGGCTACAAGCATGGACGGCTTCAAAAGGGAGTAGATAAGCATATGGAGCAGAGGTCCATCAGTGGCTATTAGCCACAAGGTATAGATAGGGACTCTGGGGCAAGTGATGCTCTGTCATCTTGGTGCTTGGGGGGTCAACAGTGGGATGGCTTCTAATGTCCTGGCCCCACTGGTGGACCTCCTGATGGCACTGGTATTTCTGGCCACTGTGTGACACAGAGTGTTGGACTGGATGGGCCTTTGGCCTGATCCAACATTGGCATCTCTTATGTTCTTATGTTCTTATAAGGGGCAGCAAGTTCATGGAGGACTCTTACAGCTGGATACTGGAGTGGCCAGGAGGACAATGAAAATATTAGAGATGGTCGTCACATGGCCAGAACAATGAGAGGAGTGAAAGGTTTTGTCACCAGAGCACTGAATAGAGTGGAGGGGAACACTGGGAGCAGAAAGCATAAGGAAAGACCAACAAGCAGGAGGCTGCAGTAGTCAAGGTGAGAAGGGACCAGAGTGTGAACCAAGAGAGGGGCTATGACTCAGTGGCAGAGCATCTGTTTAGCACACAGGAGCTCCCAGGTTCAATTCCTGGCATCTTCCATTAAAAGCATCAGGATTTAGGTGATGAGAACAAACTTAACCTGAGACTCTGGAGAGCTCCTGCCAGTTTGAGTAGACAATACTGATCTTGATGGACTAATGGTCTAATTCTGCATAAGGCACACAAACAGGAACAATGTGTTAGTTGTGCATTTAAATCTTCCCTCTGTTTTGCTCAGCATGTTCAGCATGTCATGACTCTTTGCCTTTGCAATATTACAAACTTATGACGTTCATTTGTCTACTAAGTGAACATATGGAAGAGCCATAAATGTGTAATCCTGCAAAGGCAAAGAGTCATGACATGCTGAACATACTGAACAATACAGAGAGAAGTGAGAAATGCACAACTAACACTTCTTGCCTATTTGACAGAATGGATGACGTTGGTTCCTTCAATGGATATATGAGGAAGGGAAGTTCAGATTGGATTCATGTAAAGTTCTTTCTTGGAAATTAGTGGGGGGGGGGTTGGGGGGGGTGGTCAACAGCGTAGCAAAAAATATATATATATAGTATCTGAAGACGTTGCTGAAAACCTGCTAACTTAAATCTGTCTTCGTTACAAGGAGATTTTGTTGAGGCCTTTGTGCATTTCAATGTCTTTCTTTTTGCTCCTGAATTTCCTCCTTCTCATCCAGCAGTCTTTCCAGATATCAGGTAAGTTACTTCTGTTAGCTCACCAGTAAAGGAATGGCATCCTCCCTAACTAGCTAATATAAAACTGACTACTGAAAGTTTAAAAAATAGCATTATTAAATTGAATTTCTGTGAGATATTTCAGAGACAAGGAAATGATGGATTGCATGTTTCAGTTGCATACATCAATTAAAAAACAGGTTAATGGTGCGATAAGCAATGCCAAAGACCCTTTTACAGTACTGATTTTATGGCTGCAAATAAAAGGGTTTCCTTCTTTTTTTAATCAATAAGCCAATCTAATAACTATGCTTTTACTATACCTAACTAAAAAGGAATCTTTCCAAAAGTATTTCTAGAAGTATCTGGAGTTTTATAATTATGTAAACACTGGTGTTAATAGCTTGCATGTCCATATCTTCTCTAGCTATAGAATAAGAAATAATATAAGCACTGTGCACTACTTTCTCCTGCTCCATTGTACTGTCTTTAATTCTGAAGTCTGGTATCTTCTTCCTGTCAGATATTCCCATATAGGAGGCAATGAGGCACCTTCTCATAATATTACTTGTGACTTTAATTTTACAGAGGATGATACTTTTCTGATAAACTATGAGAAACATAATCTTTGTATGCAACCCAGCGAAACTTCTGTCATCTCACTTGGCAAATGCAATCAGGATAATAAGATCCAAAAGTTTAAATGGACTTCCAGTCAGCAAATACTGAACATGGGACTGAAGTTATGCTTGGGAGCATCATTAGACTTCAGCCAACTTGAATTCTCCTCCTGCAATCAGACCAGTGAGCTTCAGAAGTGGGCATGTGTCAATGATACCTTTCCTGCAATCAGAGGACAAAACCAGTTTTTGTCTTATGGTGCTGGACATGTCCAGTTGAATAATGCACATGATGTCAAAGCAACCTGGAAGATTGATGGAACCAAAGACAAACTGTGCACTAAAGGCTTTGAAGGTAAATTTCAGAGGGCTTGTTTTCAGTGTTCAACTGAGCATCCTATTAACCATGTTGAATCCCCTGCATTTAACCGTGCTGCAACTTCACCTGCAGGAGACTGGGGGGGGGGGACATTCAGGACAGAATAAACAGTCTGGCCAAGTGATGTATCTTCATCCTACTTCTTTCAATTAATTTAAAAAAAAAATAATTGGAAGGGAATCAAGGAAATTCAGAAATGTGTAAGTGATGTGAAGATGTCATGTTTTTTTTCCCCTGGGCCAATTTCCTTAAAAACCAAGTTATAAGGATAACAGACAAGAAGACTTTCTCATTCACTTCAGTGGAAGGTAACATAGACAGCATACATGCAACGAAATGTGAGCCCCAAATGGGTGCTTCCATTGAAGTGAACAATGGCACCCTTGGAGTGGTGGACTGAGGACTTTGTGACATTTCTGTATTAATGATACTATTTATTTCACTTTGTCTAAAGCTCAGTTTACCATAGAAGGCAATTCCAATGGAGCCCCCTGTGTATTCCCATTCAAGTATAAGAATGAGTGGTATGTTGAATGCACAACAATAGACAGTGAAAATCTACAGCCTTGGTGTGGAACAACTGCTGATGTGGATAAAGACTCTTTAACTGGATATTGTCCAGTAAAAGGTAAAACTCTTTCAATGCTTTGCTTCTACCCTTTAATCTGCCATCACACACTTGATGCTTGGAAGAGTAGGTTTCCTCTCTCGCCCCAGTTTCATTCATTCTCTCTCCCTTCTTCATGACAGAGGTCCACTTGTGGCTAGACTGCTTGGCTACAAGTACAATATAAAATTAAATGCAGAGTGGTGGTGGTGGTGGTGGTGAAGTTCTGATGCTAGAAATGGTTTAGAATAATTAAAATCATCATGGTACAAGGAGTGCTTCTTTAGGATGAGCTTCATGGCCACATCATTCAAAATTAGATGTAAAGGCTTCCTTTCGTAGTTGCTCACCACCAGTTCAGACCCAATCAGTATCCGTGAGAATATGGGATGTTTTGACCAATCATTGCCTCTCCTGTTGCCCTGTTTGGAGAGATCCTTTAGGAAATCCTCACTGCCATTTGGCTTTTCACTATCCTCAATATTTTTACTTCATCCACTGAACTACCCATAGATGATACAGATAATAAATGAACAAACTTAATAGCACTGATCCCAAGGCAAATGCCTGGGAGATCCTATTGCTTATTCCTTGCATAATATCAACTGTTTACTCAGACTCTCCGATTCTAGTTCTTTAAGCAGTTTACAAGTTATGGGGCTCCTGCCCCTTGTGTCATTTTTCTGTTCCAAACAGTACTTGGAGGAGGTATTCTTTGTCCCATCAGGAGACTGCACATGCAAACATCAGTATATGTGCAGCCACCCAGTAGGGCAAATAACAGCCCCAGCAGAATTTTTGGTCAGGAAAACAATGGGGGGGGGGAGTGGGAGCATCTTCTTCCCCTGCACAGTGGTCTTGACCAAAACTGGGGTCTTGTGGCACTTTCACAGCGATTTCTGGTTGGGTGGGCCAGCAGCTGTTGTACGGCTGCTGGTTCCACTGGAGAACATATCACAAACGTCACATCTCGTTCAGCCCCAATCCTCATACTAACAACTAGACTGGGCTGAGTAAAAAGCCAGAGAAATTTGCTATCTCCAGAGAGACTCCTTCCTAGTATACGTTATATTAATGATGTTCCAACAGCAGTTTTGAACACTAAAGATATGTAAAAACACAGTGAGTAATTTTAGAGTGATGGGACATTACATTCTATACATTCTTTTTCTAATTTGAACTCACATAAGAGATCCTTCACATAGTGCAGTCTTGGGGTTCACAGTCTGCAATATTTAAACTGATCCACAATGTATCTAAATCAGCATTAATCAAGATTCATGTGACTTTCCCCCCCACATGCCATGCAGGTGCTCTCCCACTGAGCCACGCCCCCTTCCCAGTTTTGTGAATGGCTCATGTTCAGATTGCTTTCTTGTTGGCAGAACTTTTATGTTAAACTAGTATGAAGCTCTGGTGTTGTGGGGGGGGGGGCCTCCAGGTTTCCCTATTGCACTATTTTGCAGGCAGAAAAGGCTGTGGTGGAACATGGTTTCCCCTTCCTTGGGCTCCCCATGTCCTCTAGTTTGGTGTAGTGGTTAAGTGCGCAGACTCTAATCTGGGAGAACAGGATTTGATTCCCCACTCCTCCACTTCCACCTGGCTGGATGACCTTGGGCAAGCCGTAGTTCTGATAAGAGCTGTTCTTGAAAAAGAGCAGTTTCTGTCAAGAGCTCTCTCAGCCCCACCCACCTCACAGGGTGTCTGTTGTGGGGAGGGGAAGGGAAAGGAGTTTGTAAGCCGCTCTGAGACACCTTTGGGTTGTGAAGGGCGGGGTATAAATCCAATCTCTTCTTCTCCTTCTCCATCACATGATTGTAAAACCCATGGGGCTGAAAAAAGTGGCAAAGCCCCCCCCCCATTGTTTCCACTATTTATTTATTTAATTAATTAATTCCTACCCCACCCTCCCCACAAATGGGCTCAGGGCGGCTTACAAACAAGGGCATCATGTGCCAATACATAAAAACAGAATAAAAACGAACAATTTTACATAATAAAGTGCTCAATGCTGTTTATCTTCAATTAAAGCAAGATGGTGTCCTGAGGATATTACACAAGTCCCAGTTCAGAGGTACAGATCCATTGTATTACTGTAGTTCGATCTTCATAAAGGGCCATCCCCGTTGTTACCAGGGATCGTTGGTGATGGTGGTAGTGGTAGAGGCCAGTGTTCCCTCTAAGCTGAGTTAGTGTGAGCTAGCTCACAGTTTTTTAGCCTCCAGCTCACACATTTTTGTCTTAGCTCAGGAAGGATGGCTTCAGAGCAAACTAATTTATGCAGGAGCCCAATTGCTCACTCACAACTTTAATGTCAATAGCTCACAAAATAGAATTTTTGCTCACAAGACTCCAGAGCTTAGAGGGAGCATTGGTAGTGGTAATCAAAAGCCTGGCAGAAGAGCTCCATCTTGCAGGCCCTGTGGAACTGTGAAAGGCCCCGCAGGGCCCTGGTCTCCTCCGGGAGCTCATTCCACCCTGGTTGCAGCAAGCCAGGCCTCCCTGGGGCCTGGGATCACTAACCGATGTTGTGCCCCCGACCATAGTGCCCTTAGGGGTATGTGTGGGGAAAGGTGTTCCCTTAGGTATGTCAGACCCTGGCCATATGGGGCTTTAAAGGTCAAAACCAGCACTTTGAAGCACACCCGGTACGCTATTGGCAGCCAGTGCAATGCTTTCAGCACAGGCTGAATGTGCTCCTATTTAGGGAGACCCATTAAAAGCCTGGCTGCAGTGTTCTACACTAACTGCAGCTTCCGGATTTGCGACAAAGGCAGCTCCATGTAAAGAGCATTACAGTAGTCTAATCTTGAGGTGACCATCACATGGATCACTGTAGCCAGGTCGTTGTCATGCCTGTACCCGCCTGGTCGTTGTCATGCCTGTACCCGCCTGGGAGGTCTGAAACTGAGGACTCCATTCCTTTAACATCATCAGAAGCATGAGAGTCCTCACCAAACTGTATTAACACTATATCCAGATAATATATTGCTAACAAGTAAGTGTTTTTGCTTTTCTACAAGGTCTTTGAAACTTTGAGGAGAGAGGCTTTCTTTTCAGTTTCTGCTTAAACACTCAGGCATAGATTCCTGAGTTTCACTGACTCTTAAAGTTTAGAAAGCAGGAACATAGAACCAAGGTTTGGACAGTTTTTCAGGGATTGTGGAATTCTACCTAATTAGAGACAGAGGAAAAAAAGATCTCCAGTTTTATGATCAATTAAAATTCTTCTTTGTACCATGGACACATGCTTAAAATATCACTTAGAAAAGTTGTATATAAAATATCAATATGATCAAATCCTTCTGGACTTGGATTTACCATGGGGCGCTGCTATCAGAGAGACCAGGTGAATTTTCTTGAACTGGTAGCCACTCCTCAGAGTCCCTTCTTTAACTTTTCCCTCAATATTCCAATCCCCACAGCTCATCTTTTCCTTGACAAAAAAGTTTAGTTCACATGCCAGGTCTCTCACTTCATCCTTCTCAGAGACAGTAAGCCTTGCTTCAAAATCATTGAATGTCAGACCAACTTGAAAGATTTTTCTTTAGCATTCTGAGATGGATTGACAATAGTATTATTAAACAATATTTACAGATGACAATGAACACTTTTGGATTAGAAATCATTGGACTGGAAATCAATACCAGATAAATTCTGACTCAGCTCTTACCTGGCTCCAAGCAAGAAAAAGCTGTCAGCAACAGAATGCAGAATTATTAAGCATCACACAACTACATGAACCAACCTACCTGGCAGGTATGACCCTTTTAAAAATGAAGCATATATAAGTGATCAGTCTCTGTGAATATTCTTCTTTTTTGTAGGAAGATATTTTAAAATTAGAATATGTTCATTGGGGGTGGAAGAGATGAGCAGAAATTATATTTAACAGTACCAATAATAAAAATGCAGGTAAGTTTGTAATAACACTAAATCCGGATAATATGTTGCTAACAAGTAAGTGTTTTTGCTTTTCTACAAGGTCTTTGAAACTTTGAGGAGAGAGGCTTTCTTTTCAGTTTCTGCTTAAACATTCAGGCATAGGTTCCTGAGTTCCACTGACTTTTAAAGTTTAGAAAGCAGGAACATAGAACCAAGTTCCCTAAATCCTTCTCTATACACAGACCAGGGATCACTCCTTGTTTCAGAGCTATTTCCCTTTCCAGTGGGCAAGGATTACTGATCTTGACAAGAAGCTCTATCCCTTTTTGGATTGAATGGGGATCCACTGTGATCCACTCACTCCTTCAGCCTCTTTCCCAGTCTGCAGTCAGTGCTTAACTGTCTCTTCTTCAATTGTCAGTTCCCAACCACCATTTCTTAACTGACTGTCTCCACAGAATTATGTTTCAACAGCCTGCCATTCAGACTCTGGGAGATATTAACCCTTGACCATCTATCACAACTGTCTTTAGTGTTCTCTATGAAGCAGGAAGGTTTTTGCAAAGTGTGCCTAGAGGAGCCGCCGCCACCACCCCATCTGGGATAGGCTGGGAAGTTTGCTGGGCGGGGCTCCAAATCAGGCTCTGGTGGAAGCGGCGTCGGGGGAATCCCATTCCCCAGTGAGGCTTGGGCTGGTCCGCAAGATTGATTTTTCTGAGAAAACCACAAGAAGAAAAGATGCAAGCTAAACTGAAAGCCTATGACAGTGATGGCGAGCCTTTTACAGACCGAGTGCCCAAACTGCGACCCAAAACCCACTTATTTATCACAAAGTGCCAACACGGCAATTTAACCTGAATACTGAGGTTTTACTATAGAAAAAACAACTCATACATTAACTTAAGATGATCCAAATAAAGTAAGGAAAGCAATCCCAAATGCTTTCATTTACTTAAAATTATTTGGCAGAGAATTCAACACTTTAATGATGGTATGGGCCTGGCTGGGGCAATGGCACGCGTGCCCACAGAGAGGGCTCTGAATGCCACCTCTGGCACCCGTGCCATAGGTTCACCACCACTGGCCTATGAGATCCTTTTCCATACAGCCGTATAAAATGACTGAAAATGTAGCCCTCTGGTAGGGCCATGAACCTAAAACAAATGTATGTTTCTGTACTAATGTTTGGAGTAGGAGGTCTACTCCTTTTCATGTATCTACAAGCCTGGATTGATGAACAATATGCAGACCCACTTAGGTAGTGCAAGTGCCTGAAGATTTGTTGTTTTGACTACTGACCGCCCTGGAATCATCGAGAAAAAACTGGAGGTGCCATTGGATGCTACTGGGCATGGGACACTGAGCCCAAGCGTCCAGACTAATCCACCCAGAACCACTGAGGCAAAGGAAGGAAGGAAGACCAAACAGGATCGGATTGTTACTGACATACGTATACAACTACTGATTATTACTGGCTGCTTAAACTTATAGGAATTAGGTTTTAGACAATTAATTGGGGGGTGTAAAGGTAAAGGTTCCCTTGCTCGAAAGCCAGTTGAATCTGACTCTAGGGTTGCGGCACTCATCTCCATTTCAAAGCTGAAGAGCCAGCGCTGTCTGAAGACATTTCCGTGGTCATGTGGCCGGCATGACTAAACACCATAGCGCACGGAACGCTGTTACCTTCCCACTGAAGTGGTACCTATTTATCTACTTGCAATTTCTTGCTTTCAAACTGCTAGGTTGGCAGGAGCTGGAACTAGAGACGGGAGCTCACTCCGTCAATTGGGGGGTAGCTATTTATTTATTTTTTATTTATTTTTAGATTTATATCCCACCCTTCCAAATGGCTCAGGGCAGCTAACATATGGCAGTGCCGGATTAAATAGATAAAATACAATAAAACAACGATGAATAACCACAATAAAACCCATAAAATATTTAAGGTGCTCTGATGTCATCCTACATATGAATCATCCAAGATGGGAACAATAATCCCAATTCGATGGCCAGCTGTCTCAATAGCGAGGTCTCCAGCGACGATGTTCTGCGCACTTCTGCCAGGTGATGCATACCTCCCATAATAGGGGTAGATGATGGAACAATACCACGGTGGTGGAATAGTGGTGGTGGTGGCTCCTACTCAAAAGCCTGGCGGAAGAGTTCCATCTCGCAGGCCCTGTGGAACTGCACAAGGTCTCACAGGGCCCGGATCTCCTCCGGGAGCTTGTTCCACCAGGTAGGAGCCGCCACCGAAAATGCCCTGGCCCTAGTAGGGGCAAACTTAATGTCTCAGGGGCCTGGGACTTCCAGAAGGTGGAGACTCCCTGATCGTAGTACTCTTGAGGGACCATACGGGGAGAGGCGGTCCCTCAGGTAAGCCGGACCCTGGCCATTTAGGGTTTTAAAGGTAAGAACCAGCACTTTGAAGCGAATCTGGTATGCTATCAGCAGCCAGTGCAGTGCTTGCAGCACAGGCTGGATGTGGTCTCGCCTAGAGAGGCCCATCAACAGCCTGGCTGCAGCATTCTGCACTAGCTACAGCTTCCGTATTTGCAACACAGGCAGCCCCAAGTAGAGAGCGTTACAGTAGTCTAGCCTTGAGGTGACCGTCGCATGGATCACAGTGGCCAGGTCCTCATGGTCAAGGTAGGGGACCAACTGCCGAGCCAGCAGCAGATGGTAAAAGGCCACCTTGGCAGTGGCTGCCACCTGGGCCTCCATCATTAATGAGGAGTCCAGGAGCACACCCAAACTCGTAACCTCCCGTGCAGGCACAAAAGGCACCCCGTCGAAGGCCAAGAGACGGAGCCCCAACCCCCGACCGGTCCGACTCAGGCCCAAGACCTCCGTCTTTGCTGGGTTTAATTTCAACTGACTCAGTCTGAGCCAACCAGTCACAGCTTGTAGCACCCGACGAAGGTCATCGGGACCGGGATCCGACTGGCCGCCTAACAATAGATAGAGCTGGGTATCATCAGCATATTGATGACACCCAAGCCCACACCTCCGGGCAATCTGGGTGAGGGGGCGCATATAGATGTTGAACAACATAGGGAACAATATAGCTCCCTGGGGCACCCCACACTCAAGGGGGTGCCTTCGGGACCGCTGGTCCCCAGTCGCCACCCTCTGTCCCCGACCTTGAAGAAAAGAGGCAAACCATTGAAGAGCAAGCCCCTGAATCCCCACGTCAGCAAGGCGGCGGGCCAGCAACTGGTGGTCGACCGTGTCAAACGCAGCCGACAGATCTAACAACACCAGTGCCACCACGCCACCTCGATCCTGATGCCTATGGAGATCGTCCATCAGAGCGACCAGCACCGTCTCCGTCCTGTGGCCCGGGCAGAAGCCAGACTGGAAGGGATCGAAGGCGGAAGCCTCATCCAGATCGCTCTGTAGCTGTGATGCCACCGCCCTCTCGATAAGTTTGCCCAAATAGGGCAAATTGGAAACCGGCCGATAGTTGGCCAATTCGGCCAGGTCCAAGGATGGTTTTTTCAAGAGAGGGCGGACCATTGCTTCCTTGAGTGCTCCGGGGAACCGTCCCTCAATGAGGGACTTATTGACAATCTCCCGCAGTGCACCTTGAAACCCCTCATGGCCTGCTTTAATAAGCCAGGAGGGGCACGGATCCAGGTTGCATGTGGTTGGGCGCACCGATACAAGCAACCTGTCAGCTTCCTCCAGGCTGAGTGGGTCAAAACACACTAAACCCGGCACCAAAGACGTGCATGGGGCCTCAAATTCCCTACCTGTTTCAATTGTGGCGGGGAAGTCGAGGCGGAGAGCCAAGACTTTATCTGCAAAATAGCTCACAAATGTCTCACAGCCTAAGTCCAATTCCCTAGCATTATGCCTGCCCTGAGACAGAGCTGTCAAAGACCGAATTACACTAAATAATTGGGCCAGGAGTGAGCTAGCAGATGCAATCGAGGTCGCATAGAAGTCTTTCTTTGCGGCCTTGACTGCTATCTCATAGGAAACGTCCTATAGGATGTTCTTGACACTTCATCACGACCACAGTGCCACCGTATCTCTAGCTGTCTCAGTTCTCACTTCAGCCACCGCAACTCCTGGGTATACCAGGGTGCTCGCCTATCATGAGTGCGGAGAGGGCGCCTGGGAGCGATCTCATCAATGGCTGAGGAGAGGGCGCCTGGGAGCGATCTCATCAATGGCTGAGGAGAGGGCGCCTGGGAGCGATCTCATCAATGGCTGAGGAGAGGGCGCCTGGGAGCGATCTCATCAATGGCTGAGGAGAGGGCGCCTGGGAGCGATCTCATCAATGGCTGAGGAGAGGGCGCCTGGGAGCGATCTCATCAATGGCTGAGGAGAGTCGGCAATTCCAATCCTCCACCAGCTCATCTAATGAACCACCAGGGGGCCTTGGATCCTGCAGAGCCATCTGGAACCGCATTGGGTCCATTTGACTTCGCGGGCGAACCAAAATCAGCTCGCCACTTAAACAGGGTTGGTGTGGAGCATTCAGACGGGCCCTCAGGGCATGGTGGTCCAACCATGGCACTGCCAGGACAGTGATCCGGTCCACTGTGACTCCTGCCGCAAAGATCAGATCGAGCATGTGACCGGCCCAATACGTGGGTGCCAAGACGAACTGAGAGAGTCCTAGTGCCGCCATGGATGACTCTAGATCCACAGCCCGGCTGGAGGTCGTGTCCTCAGCATGGACGTTGAAGTCACCCAAGACAATTAGCCTAGGGTGCTCCAGCACCCAGCCTGATACGGCCTCCAGCAGGGATGGCAGACTATTGGCTGGCGCGTTAGGTGGTCGGTACACCAACCAAATAGCCAAACTCTCCTTAGCCTCCAGCATCGCACCGACACACTCTACGCCCATGATCTCTACCTGCAGGAGCGCCCTGAAGGAGTAAGCCCCCCGAATGAATAAAGCCACACCTCCCCCCCGCCCCCTAGTCCATAATTGATGGAGGACTGAGAACTTCAGCAGGGCAAGTTGAGTGAGAGCTACTGTCTCGCCCTCCCACACCCAGGTCTCGGTCACGCATGCCAGGTCAGCTTGCTGTTCCTGTACAAAGTCCCACAGGACTTCGACTTTATTGTTAATAGACCTGGCGTTGCACAGCACCAATGACAGAGGGGGGTTCCCAATCCTGGCCCTCTGCTGGCCACCCTCAGGATGAGTCGTAGGCTGGAAGGGCACCGAGCCACTCTATTTCTCTATTTCTCACTCCATTTCTCCCTTCCCTCCACACCTTGCCAGGACCCACCGCCATACTTCCCTCTCCCAAAGAGCACTGGAATTTGGTGCCTGTACATTAGTCAGCTGGGGTCTCTGCTATGCTTCAGGCCGCCAACAATCAATAACAGAAATCAATTAACTATCATTTCTGCTAGTTTAAAAACAAGTGCTATCTATGCAGACAGATAAAACAATTCCTACTGGTCGTGTCAGAGGTATTACACTAACTAACCAACTAATGCCCCGACAATCCCACACCAACACTACATTCATCCACCATCCACTCACATAACAGCACACCACTACATCCACCCTAGCAGACCCACTAACATACAGTCCTCGGCTCGGGTTCGGCATCAATATTCACAAGTGCTAGGCAAGTTAACTAAACTCCACGCACTCAAGATGTTCTGCTCCTCAGTCGCTAGGAGGCTCCGATATTTGTAACTCTTCACATTGGTCACTAGGGGGTTCCAACAGTTGTAATCCCCCCCACCTCCCAATCACATCCCGGGAGGCCAGCTAAGTGCCAGATCCACCCACAGCGACTCGGAGGTAGTGTGTTCCAATCCGATGGCAGGCCCCACTCCATATGTCCTGTTCAGTCCGGTGGACCCCATGGGCCAAAAATCTGATTGGATACCACATGGTACCGGAGCATAAGTCCTAGCGATCTCCCACTCAACGATCTCCCACTCAGCTTGCCAAGGATATCAGGTAGGGTAGGGGCTCACTACCGGCTCTCTCACCACCAGCTAAAGTCATGTCATCCTCGTCGGCTCTCTCACTGCTGATTATGGTCCGCCAATCATGGTTGCATCACCCCTCACTGACGTCTCTGCTCGCCCTCCGTCCCCGAGCCGCTGGCTAGTCGCCACAATAGCCGCCGTGCACCGGTCCCAACGCCAGGGGACCCATGCAGTCAGCGACTCAGCAAGCCCCTAGGCGTCTTGTGAGGGCCTAGCTACTGGTTGGGGTGCCCCACACTGCCCCACAGGGCCCCTCACCACATCAGTGGACCAGAGCCGGATGTTCCCGGAGTTCCACCCAGCGCCCCAGTCATGCTCTCACCACGCCGGGGTCAGCGGTGGAAACTCCACGTCATCTTCTGCACAGCTCTGTGGCTCCTAGACTGTTATTGGACTCCCTGCGGATGGGAGCTACACCTACAGGCAACGGCGTCTCCAGTTCTTAGTTCAGGAACCCTCAATACCAATGCCATCCAGCAGCTGAGTACAGTATGCTGTTCCCGATGCACTTGCCTGCTGGAACCAACTGAACTTAAGCTAAAACCACTAAAATAAACTAAATTAAAAGTACCACGGGGGAGCTCAGCACCCAAGCCTCACACCCAGTTGCCATCTTGGAATGTTAATTAACTGTTGTTCTGCCAATTAATTGGGGGGGTTGGTTTATAGAGTGATTTTTATCTGATTGATTGATTAAATTGTCCAATTAATTGGGGGTTTGGATTTAACTAGGGGTTTCTACCGATTAATTATGATCTAATTGTACAGCTGGTTGCCAGTTTTCAAATTAACTAATTAGGTTCTACTATAATGAATTGATTAAGTGTATTAACTGCCCTTCATTTGATCTATTGTTTAATGGATTTGACTACAAATTGATTAATAAGACAATAGCTTTTAGTTAGGGATGTGCATTCGGTTCGTCCGAACAAAATGCACCCCTGAAAATGGCCCATTCTGACCCCTTTCGGGCTGCTGCAGGTCAATTCAGATTCTGATCTGAATCGGCTTGCCACCAAATTGCTGCCAAATTTCGGCCACAATTCGGCCCCATTATATCCTATGGACCATTGAAGTCAATGGCAAAAACATAGGGTATATTCTGGTGGCTGGAGGGGAGGGGGTTTGAGGGAGAGGCTCTCCCCAAGATACCAACCAAGTTTCAAGAGCATTGGACCAGGGGGTCCAATTCTATGGGCCCCCAAACAGGTTGCCCTTATCCCCTCCATTGTGCTCCAGTGGGGCGCCATCGGTGCCAGCGCTGAGGGTCAGGAGTTCGTGAGTGCTCCTGGATGCTTCCCTGACAATGGAGGCCCAGGTAGCAGCCACTGCCAAGACAGCCTTTTACCATCTCCGGCTGATTAGGCAGTTGGTCCCCTTCCTCAAACGCAATGATCTGGCTTTAGTGATCCACGCTATGGTCACCTTGAGGTTGGGCTACTGCAATGCTCTCTACATGGGGCTGCCCTTGGGGCAACTCCAGAAGCTGCAGCTAGTGCAAAATGCAGTGGCCAGGCTGCTGATGGGCTCCCCATGCAGGAGCACATCCAGCCTGTGCTAAAGTTGCTGCACTGGCTGCCAATAGCATTCTGGATCCACTTCAAGGTGCTGGTTTTTACCTTTAAAGCTCTTTATGGTCAGGGGCCTGCCTACCTGAGGGACCGCTTTTCCCTGCATGTTCCCCAGAGAGCACTGCGATCTGGAACACAAAACCGCCTGGGCCCCCCCTAAGCCTAGGGACGCCAGGTTGGCGTTGACTAGGACCAGGGCGTTTTCCCTGGTGGCACCGACGTTCTGGAATGAGCTCCCCAGTGAGATCAGGGCCCTGCGGGACCTCCAGCAATTCCACAGGGCCGTGAAAATGGAACTTTTCCACCGGGCGTTTCAGTAGGAATGACATTATATTGGCTGAGCGGCACCTGCACTTTATTATATGACACCACCATACTTAAATAGTTTTAACTGGTTTTAACTGTATTTATTGTTGTATTGAGTCGAGTTATTTTATATATTGATCTATGTTGGTTTTATAATTGTATGTCAGCCGCCCTGAGCCACTTTGGTGGGAGGGCGGGATAGAAATCAAACGAATATATAAATAAATAAATAAAATATATGGGTCTGCTTCTTTTAATAAGAGGAGCCAGTCTGGGATCAGACACTTTCAGTTCATTTATTCTCAGTAAGTGGCCCCATGTCATTTAAGGTTGCTATTATTGTACTTGCAATGCAGAGAACAAGCTTCATGATATGATTAATTTCTGCTTGATAGTCAGCTGCTAAATGCAGAGGAGCCATGCCACAAATAAGTTGGCAACCTTAATTATACCAAGTCAGGTTAGGTTCCCCCCCCCTTCAGCTTCCCATCTAATACATTACTCCTCCTTTTCTTCCCTTTAAATAGGATTAACAACTGATCTGAACACTGACTACTGGATTGGGCTTAACAGTTTGGATATGGACAGTGGATGGCGGTGGGCTGGCAACCATCCTTTCAGATATTTAAATTGGGCTCCAGGTGAGTGATCATTTATCGACAGTTGGTGAATACCATGTCCTCTAAAGCCACAGGAATACTATCCTCCACAGAACATGGCTACACATTGACCATAATCATTGGGCACAACCCAGTGAAAGATTATCATTGCCATAACTGTGTTTTAACTATTGTCAGCTGCACCCTTCCCCCCATTCTCTAGTTCATACAACATGTATAATTGAAATAAAACTGACAAATACGACAGTTGTTTGTTGCCATGATAAAAATGGGTACAATGTTAATACAAGGCAGGCCCATATAATATCCATATCTTTGTTTCTTAAGGGAGCCCATCACCAGAATCAGAGAAAATCTGCGCAACGATGCGATCTCAGAGTGGCAAATGGGAGAATAAGGAGTGTGGTCATAAACTTGGATACATTTGTAAAAAGGAAAACTCTTCATTAAACACCCCAGTCATCTCTTCAGGTAGGGTCAACTGAAAGTGAACAATATGAAAGATATGGGTTTCTTCTGTTATTGGTGGCACTTTTCCTGTGGTGCAGGAACCTGTCCATTGATACAAGTGGCTTTCATATCTGTGGAAAGTACTATTGCTAGTGAACAGGTCTGCAGGAACTAATCATGTATAAGTTTTTAGAATAATCTTTGATATAAAGTGACCCCCCGGCAGTACAAGTGGTAGCCTTCAAGTAGTATTTATTTATGTATTTATACCCTGCCTTTCTCACTGAGACTCAAGGTAGATTTTGAATCGAATTCCAGTCAAACAGTATTAATAGCATGTGATAGCTAATAAACAGTGCAATAGGAATAAGATCACAAAGGTTACAAACAGTGGAAAAATTATCAGAAATGATCAGCTAAAAACAAAAAAGAATCAATTTGAAAGAATGCAACAAAAGTATCAAACATAATTAATGAGAAACAGAGCAACAAAAGTATCAGACATATGTCAAACAGTACAGAGAATGGAATTAACAGAAATTAGAACACAATGCACTGAGAGAAGCATAATATACACAATAAAGACATAATATATATCATGACAGTGGCATAAACCACACTACTGTTCTCTTTATAGAAGCACCTTTCTGAGTCAGCCTGCTATATTATTGCCCTACTCCTTTTGTAAAAACGCACCACAGAACAATTCTGTTTTATAATGTTCACAGGATGATGGGAGCCTTTCTGGCCTCCTCAGCTTGGCCATTCCACAACATGGGGTCCACAACAGAGAACACAGGTGTACCGGCAGCTATTATTCTTGCCCGTTTACAGGGAGGCACCTTCAAAAGGCTTTGCTCAGATGAGCTAAGCTATTGTGCAGGGCATAGAAACAGAGGGAGTCCTGCAGATATCAGGATCCCATAACATGTGGGGTTTGTATGTGATAACAAGTGCCTTACATTGAACCTCATGATTGATAGGTAACCAATGGGATGACTGCAGTTTGCATGCATATCCATCTAACTCTTGATAACAACTGAGCTGTGGCATCCAGTGCCAAATGAAGCCTCCGAGTTGACTTCAAAGGAGTCTATTGTAATTGTTTAGTCTCTACTAGTAGTAGTAGTACTATTGCTGCTACTACAGCAGCAGCCTACTACTGGTAGTACCAGTAGCAGCCATCTAAAACAATTCATTGGATCTACATTCTTGAGGAGATCTGGCAAGTGGCAGATGGCATAAAATGAGAGAATCTGGCAGATGAAATTAAGGCATCATTCATGATATGTATTTTAAGACAAGGTTCTGACACACCTAAGTAAGCCCTTTGTTCCTATATACATAGACCCAAATAATCACAGAATCATAGAGTTGGAAGGGACCTCCAGGGTCATCTAGTCCAATCCCCTGCACAATGCAGGAAATTCACAAATACATTCCCCTCCACACCTGCAGTGAACACTGTCCCATGCCCAGAAGATGACAAAAAACCTCCAGGATCAGTGGCCAAACTGGCATGGAGAAAAATTGCTTCCTGATCTCAAAGTGGCAATCAGCATGTCCCTGGGTGTGTAAGAAAGGGCCACAAGAACAAAACACTGAGGCAACCCTTACTGCTCTCCCTCTTGTGATCTGCCTAAGTTTATAAAGATGTTGAACAAAACAGGTCCCAGGCAGATCCCTGAAGCACTCCACTTGTCAATCCTCTCCAAGAAGATGAGGAACCATTCACAATCACTCTTTGGGTGCCATCTGTCAACCAGTTACAGTTCCACACCTAATAGTCATAGGATCCAAATCACATTTACCAATTTGTCAATAAGAATATTATGTTGAACCTTTTCAAAAGCCTTACTGAAATCAAGATAAACTATGTCTACAGCATTCCCCTGGTCCAGCAAGGCAGTAACTTTCTCAAAAAAAGAGATAAGGTTAGTCTGACATGACTTGTTCTTGAGAAATCCATGCTGGCTCTTAGTAATCACAGCTGTCTTTTCTAAATGCTCAAGGACTGACTGTTTGATGTTTTGTTTTTAAACTTTTCCAGGTATAGACGTGAAGGGGATGGGTGAGTAGTTACCTAGATCCTCCTTTCCCCCTTCTTGAAGATGGGGACATTTGCCCTCTTCCAATCTTCTGGCACCTCACCTGCTCTCCAAGAATTCTGAGAAATAATGGACAGAGGCTCAGGAACTACATTTAAAAGTTATTTTAGATCCCTTGGATGCAGTTCATCTAGCCCCAAGGACTTAGTTTCATTTAAAGAAACTAGGTATTTCTTTAAATGCCAATCCTAGGCTGCAATTCCCTTGCCTCATCATTTGTCCTGTTTTTGCCATGTTGAGCACCATTTCCCTCAGAAGAGAAGACTGAGGAAAAAATAGGAATTGAGCAGTTCTGCCCTCTCTTCATCACCCATTACAATTTAACTTTCCTCTCCCCGCAATGGGCCTACCATGTCATTGCTCTTTTTCTTACTTTGAACATAAGAAAAGAACCATTTTTTGATATTTTTAGCATCTTTCACTAGCCAAAGCTCATAGTGAGCTTTAGCTTTCCTAACTCTGTCTCTGCAAGCACTGGTTATTTATTTATATTCATCCTTGATTATAAGACCCTCCATCCATTTCCTAAATTAGTCTTTTTTATTTCTCAAGTCTTTAGAAAGCTGTTTATGGCGCCACCTTGGCTTCTTTAGGATCCTCCCATTTTCCCTTCTCATTGGAATTGTTTGTGATTGTTCCTTCAATATTTCAATTTTAAGAAACTCCCATCCCTCTTGAACTCCCTTCTCCTTAAGTATTTCTGACCATAGGATTCTACCCAGCATAATTTTAAGTTTGTCAAAATTTGCTTTCCTGAAGTCCAACCTATATGTCTAACTATGTACAGGTTTTTCCTTCCCCGAGACTGTAAATTCCAAAATCACATGATCACTACTACTCTGGGTGCTCACTACTTCCACCTCATCAACCAGTTCTTCCCTGTTGGTGAGAATCAAGTCCAAGATAGCAGTCCCCCTTGTTTCCCTCTCCACTTTCTGGAAAACGGTGCTGTCATGACGACATCAGGAATTTATTTGACCTTTCATTTTTAGCAGAGTTGGACTTCCAACAATTATCTGGGTAGCTGAATTCTCTCATGATCACCGTGTCCCATCTCTTTGAGAACTTTGTAATCTGTAGTAGGAGTGTCTCATCCAAGTCCTCTGCCTGGCTTGGTGGTCTATAGCAGACCCCCGCCATAATATCACTATTATTTCTTACTCATTTTATTTTTACCCAAAGACTCTCAACTGGACTTCCATGCTCAGATTCACATATTTCCTCACAACTTTCCATATAATGCTACTCATTCCCCCTTCCTTATTCGTCTGTCCCTTTGAAATAAACAACCAAGGTCCCGGTCACATGGAGAATTAGCCCCGCGAGAGGGACAGCTTGCTGACGGATTAAATGGGCACGATCATACCGCAACATCTGGCAAGCGTGGCGTCCCCATCTCCAACCCGTAGCTTCAGCCCGAAGATGCAGAGTTAAAAGATACTAGGAATCATGCAGTATCTTCCGGAAAGCACGTGGTGTGAGCGTCTGATTGGGGAAGCGCTTGTAGCCCATTGCAGCCAGAGCCCGTTCGCGTCCCACACATGCACACAAATGCGGTACTGCTGTGTTGCCTCGTTTAGTGTGATCGGCTGCCAAAGGCTGAGCACGGAGCCTCGGGGGGGCATCAGATTGTGCTACCATGCTTCATATTGCTCCGGCTCTAAAAGCCTCACCTCCCCTGCGGATTATCCCACTCATGTGACCGGGACCCAAGTTTTGCATTATATTATTTCATTTGTATGCAGATCATTTTAGCTTTAAAAATGGTGTGTAAAATACTTCAAATCAAACCATGAACAGGCTTGACCTTCAGTGCTACAGGGAAATAACTGTACTGATAAGGTGAATATATAAATTTTTTCCTTTGTCCTCTTTATACGTAGGTTTTTAGGACAGCAATTAAAATCCAGGGGGCATGGAAGAAAGCAGCTCCAAGAGAGCTGATGGCTGAAGAAAAAGGAAAACAACTGGGCATCCATTTCTGCCCATAAATTTTTGGGGAGCTCTGAATAAACATGTGTGAAATATTTTCTCTTTTGGAATAAGTGAAACAAGTGGGGACCCACAAGTAAATATTGTGGGTTGTGCAGCCCTTCCCAAACTTTCCCCTTGGCTGCTGGCCACTGAGAGTGAGGCAATGGTGCTGGAGGCGACTGTGTGAGAAGGAGACATGCTCACCCACTCATCAGCTCCCAGTAGTGGGGGGATGGCATTAGCAGCTTCTTCCTCCCAGCTCACAGTTTAAATGGACACATGTGGCAGGGGGGTGGGGGGCAGCAGTGGTGGCTCCCACTCCCTGCCTGCCTGTCCATCCTTCCCCTGCCATTTAGTGGGAGAGCCATGGCAGCTCCTGGCCTCCTTCCCCTGCCCACCACTGAGCTGGCTGGCTGATAGAGGGTTGGCTATGGCTCTTAGCTCCTCCACACCTGCTTGCAGCACTGCCATCTTGTCTATGTGGATGGCTCCTCCTGCTTCTTCTGGCTCACTGGTGAACAGGCTTACCAGGCTCCTCTTCCAGAGGACTGTAGTGATGCCAGGAGCTGCACTGGGGGGGGGGGTGGAGTTGCAATGATGAGGGTGGGGAGCCAGGATGGGCCCAGGGGGCACTGACAATGCCACAATCATGCTATGGGCAGCAGTGGCAACAGTAGGTGGCGACTGTGGCTTCTCTTCCCACTCAGCCTGCCCACCTGCTGCCACTGCCTGCCTACAGCAGTCTCCCCTCAACACTCCAACAGAAAAGTGTTTTGTGCACATGCTCAGACAATGCTCCTCTGTTTCTTATACTCCCCCCCCACCCCAGTTTTTAGACTTTTCTGCAAACCCGAGGATCCCCCAGATGTGGAGAAAAATCTTTTGTAAATGTGGTCCTGATGCACAGATTTAAGTACCAACAGATTGGGCATTACTTGGCTGTTAGAACATAATATATATTTTTAAAGATAAGGTGTGGCTCATTCAAAATGTGTAGTATAATAATTTTAATGTAATTTTATGTAAGACAATCCAAAGTACTAGATATTGAACATTCCTGTGTAATCATATACAACATATTTTTGAAGATATTTTCATGGTTGTGAGTGACTATTTTTGTCCATAATGAATAAGCCATAATTGTATACTAACCAAATACACATTTGTGCTACTAGTGCTGTTGTGACTGTATGAAAGTTTCTGTCCAAATAATACACTTTTGCTTACTAATGAAAGATTATTTATGTTTTCAGAGTTTATTTTTTCCTTACCTCTAATGCACATGCAATAAGATAGCATAAGATATGACAGGCAGCAGCTCTCTACCTCAAGTACTGAGACTATTTGCAATTTTTCTTGTAGAAAATCAAAGTATATTTTCAAATTCTATAAGTATGCCAAGTAGTGCAATTCTGTATAATATGGTATGAATCATACATTTCATATTAAAGAAGTAAAGCAAGTTCAGGGTGATAAGAAATAAAGTATTGCATATGTAACCCTTTAGCCTTAAAAGGGCCACAATTGTGGACCGCTGAAGATCTGTTGATCAGAAGAGCTCTGGAAAGGAACAACACTTAAACAAATAACTTTTATTGGAAGGTAGGGGGAAGGGATTCAAAATGGGAGTTCGTAAACAAAATAGTGTAAATAAAATCTTATTGAGCCGTCCCAGACTCAGGGTGAAAAGAGAAGAAAGTATCTAGTCTCTGGGCTCTGACTCATGTCAGACAGGTTGTGTCACCACTTTTCCTCATAGAGTCACTGAGAAGATGGCTGGTCTTCTGATGACTGCCTCTCTCCATCTCCGGTCCCGTTCACAATAGGCAATTTGGGCCGGGAGCGGGACAGTTCGGGGCCGGATCAAACCGGCGCGATCACACCACAACATCTGGGAAGCATCGGGCTTCCGTCCCCGAACTGGCCCTTTCCCGCGAAAATCCGCCGCAACTTGCAACCACCTACCTTGGTGGTTCAACGGAAAGCTGCGCGGCAAGCCGGGTGTTTGATCGCCGGCGCGTCTTTGCGCCGGCGCATCCCCGGCGCCTAGCCGAACTGCGCATGCCCGGACATGTGCAGTTCGGCAGGCTCCCCGTCAGGGCCGTCTTTTCTCCCCGGCTTATGATCGTGCCGGGGAGTAAAGGCGCCGTGGCCCAGCGATCCGTGGGATTGCGCCGCGGCGTCTCAACTTTGGTGCGGCTTTTAAAAGCCACACTTTTTGCCGGCTTTTCCCCTGCTGTGTGGCAGGGGCTCCTGCAGGCTTTTCTCCTCTGGATCTTCTTCTTCAGAAAGTCTCCACATACCCAGGAGAAAAATGCCTCAGCTTCTGATCTCTGCTTGTCTTACTTGGAGTTCACCCCTTCCTTTTCCTGCCCTGTTGCTAGGCAACCACTCAGCCTCTCTATGGAAAGCTCCTCCCTCTAGACTAGGGCAATGTTTCCCGGCCAGGGCCCACTATGCTGGTGAAAACGTGTAACAGACTTCTTAACAATAAATAATTATATTACAAGGTAATATATCAGGGGTTTTCTCTGAGGGGAAAAAGTTTTTCTCCCTGCGGGTGTTCAATTTCCAGAAATCTTACATCTCTAGCAGCAGCCAAATCCCCATGCCAAATATTTATAATTTCAGAAATGTACAGCTTTTCTTACAATATGAAGTACATTTCTAAAAAAACATACCAGTTCTTACAAGAGAAGATAACAGTTCTATTTGCAACAATCTTTTCCCCAAGTAGAATATTACGCTGTCGTTTAAAATATCCTTTCTCACAGTATATTTTAATTGAATAATTGAACCACTCATATAATTGAATCAATCATTCTGCCTAGAATGTCCATGGGTGCAGGTTGTGTGTGTTAGGATATTTGCTGATTCCCTTCCCTGGTTTGAACGGGGCATGCACAGTTCTCAAGCTGTTCCTTGGGTCTTCTCTGTATCCGAGGAACAACATTTTATTTTGGGGGGGAATATTTTGAGCTGTAAGAAGAGTGAATCAGTAAAAATTACCCCCTCCTTGCACCTGCAGAAACTCTAGATGGATTCAAGCTTTTATATGTTTCCACTGAATATGCTTGTTCCCTTTTTAGATGACTTGAAGCCTGTGAAATGTCCAGATGGCTGGGTTCCATACTCAGGCCACTGTTACCTCCTTCAAAGAAACCTCAAGTCGTGGAAAGGTGCACTATCATCTTGTCAAAAGGAAGGTGGAGATTTAGCCAGTATCCACAATATTGAAGAGCATAGTTTTGTCATTTCTCAGCTTGGCTACAGTAAGTCTTTGTCTACATCATATTTTTATACAGTAGGGATTTGAACCAAGGCCTCTCAAGGCCTACCTTAACTGCTACTCACCACTGTTTTAAATACAGCAAATACTTCTACTGTGTTGTTTTCTTCTGGTTTCATACTGACAACAAAGTTTTTGGTACTACAACTCAGTAAATGTTACATAGGCTCCTTCCCACTTGAACCAACAATATAAAAAAGTTTCTCCAAAGTTCTACTTTCCTAGATTTATAATGTGAATAAGGTACATATTAAAAGCAATAGCTTATTCCAGTGGCAAACCTACCAGCACAGCTGAGTCAGGGAGTTGGAAGTTAATAACATTTGAGAGTCTGTTTTTCAAACCCCAGTTATTTCTGCCACCCTTAAGAGTGTTTCTGGGGTCTTCAGTGGGCTGGGGGAAAACATTTTGCAGGGAAGATGTATTCTGTAATGATTCCATGTTTTGGTGTGTGTGTGTGTGTTTAAATGTTGTTTGACTGCAGTACTGTAAGGAGGGCAATAGGGGGAGATGAGTGTGCTGTGATTGGTTGATGGGGTCTTCAGTGGGCTGGGGAAAAACATTTTGCAGGGAAGATGTATTCTGTAATGATTCCATGTTTTGGTGTGTGTGTGTGTGTCTTTAAATGTTGTTTGACTGCAGTACTGTAAGGAGGGCAATAGGGAGAGATGAGTGTGCTGTAATAGGTTGATGACCGAGAGTGTGATAGGAGATGTTCTGTGTTGTGTATACAATTGAATGTATTGAGATTGAGTCTGAGCAAGGTATTGTAAACCAACCTATCAGAACAAAGGAAGTTCTGGAGGGAAGCAAAGTGATTGGTCTTTATGTACAGTTTCTGATTGGATCTTATCTGACATGTGGGCATGGCTTGCCAAGCCCGGACTGTTTAAAAAGGAGCCTGTTGCTCCATTGTTGGTCTCATTCTGATTCTTCGGACTTCGTGTTCAATAAAGCTGCTATCACTGTTCACATGCTGCCTCGAGTCTCATATTTAACATTCTGAGAGGAATCTCTCTGTGTGTTTTATTACAGAGAGTTCTATGTATGTTTCTTTGGAATGTGAAGTGTGGAAGAGCTATGAAGAGGGTCTGTGTGTGACTCTAAAGGTTTTGTGAGAGAGTCTATATGGCAAAGAAACTAGTAGTGTCTAAACTGTGTGGTTAGACAAAGGTTTTATCGTGTGTGCCTAAAAGAGCTTAGCCAGTGGGGCTACATATATGAGAGAATGAAGCCTGTCATCGTGGAATTTTGGTGTCTGAGAGACTGTGTGTGACACTTTGCCAGTTATATTTACAAGTTCCTTTTTCCAGTAACCGTTCAAATAACTAGAAACTTATTTTGTTCTTTATTCAATAAATCGATTTTTGTTTTAACATATCCCAAAAATCAGTACAGTCCTTCCTCAGAGACACATAGTCCTCTGAAGTGCCTGGACCTTGGGTCATACTCAGGGGTTGTTTCGTAGAAAAACAGCTAGGGGAGCTCATTAGCATAACTCATTAGGATATGCCACACCCCTTGACATCAGGGGCCCTGCGGTGGACCTGCAAGGCTGGTGGGAGTGCGAGGAAGCCCCGCCAAGGCCCTCCCTGGCTCCAGGCAGGCAGGGGTGGGGAGAGGCGGGGAGGAAGCAACTTACCCTCCCTCTTCTCCTGCCTCCTCCTGGCTGAATGAGGGCCGGAAGCGGGGCGGCTGGAAGCAGGGGGCGGGGCTTCGTCATGTGCCCCGCCCCCGCACCTCACCCGGGGGAACTGCGTTCCCCCACGATCCCCCCCGAAATGACCTTTGGTCATACTACCAACGAGAGAGAATTGGAATTTTTAATTCCTTGTGACAGCAGAAAACTACCGAGTTTATATACACAGAGGGTGGTTTAAAGGCAAAACAGTCCCCTCCATAAGCAAGCAGGCCACACATTCTGCCCCTCAAGACCATAGAGATTTTGGGGATATAAGCTTTCAGGAGTCAAAGCTCCCTTCACCAGATATCCTCCTTAGATTATCATTGCAAGGTCTTCTACAGGAGCCTGCCATGTGAATTTCCTGCTTGTCAACCTCCAGGGCTAGGGCATTTTCAGTGGTTGCCCCTTCTCTCTGGATTCAGTTTCCTGGGGAAGTCCATGGCCTGCGGGATCTTCTAGCATTCTGTAGGGCATGTAAGATTGCTTTGTTTCATGCAGCCTTATGAACCAGAGAGCTGGCCAGTTGTTCTAATTTCTCCAAGTAATTAAATGTTATTTAATTAGTTTTGTTGCTTTATTTATTGCATTCATTTATTGTTATTGTATTTATATTAATTATATTTTTTAATGTTGTCAACTGCCCTGAGTCCTCTGTGGGGAGAGGGTCTGGGCTATAGATTAAATAAACGAATAACGAATACCCAACATGCATTTATCTCCTTAGATCCAACAGATATGCTGTGGATAGGACTAAATGCCCAGAAGACTGAGAGGTATTTTGAATGGAGTGATGGGACTCGTGTGACATACACCAAGTGGCAGAGTGGAGAGCCTACTTATCTACAAGACTCCCTGGACAACTGTGTCATCATGAGTGGAGAAGTAAAAATAATGCTGTCTGCTTACAGTAAAAATAAGGCTGTCTTCTTCTCTACCTGCTTACAAAAGATGCATTTCCACTGTGGGGGTTTTGCTGAATGAGTCTGCTGAGCCTTCCCTCTCCCTTTGCAGGTCACCCAGTTACTCCTCCACCCATCCCTTAACTCCCGTCTCTTTCTGGGCAATGGCATCAGGGAGATGAGACAAACTGATATCCTCCTTGGCTTTGGTCTGAGAAAGCCTTAGTACCACCCAGCAGCACCCCCCCCCCCGTTTCTTGTCCTGCCAAACGAGACTGTCTCATGGTACCTTCTCTTCCTATGGAAACCGTAGGTCACTGTGTCTCTGCTGGGTCCACCAACATTGGCTTGTGGGGGGAGGCCTCTCCTCTGCCCCCTACTTTTGAAAACAAAGTTTCTGCACCTTTTGACTTAAAATATAAACTTGAAAGTATGTACTGGATGGATGCTGAAATTTCAGAAGCCAGAAAAAGTAACTGAGTGAGATTGCCACTGTTCAGGTTATAGCTTTCTGTGCCTTGAATAACTCTTCCTCTTGTGGTTAGAAAAATCAAAATAAATAATTGCAAAAATCGTAGACTCTGTTTAGCAAAATGAAAACATTAATGTCATTTATTAAGGTCACAAGTTACAGTTCATCTGCACGATTTGGATTGCCTGGACAATTTTTTTTTTTTTACTGCTATATACAAACTGTGCTAGATATGACTAAAAATTTTATGTTTTCAAATGTGCAGTTTTGGCCATGCCACCTGTAAATTCTCAAATGTTAATATATTTGCAGATGATAGCATTTTTTACAAGTTGAAAATTACTTTTCATTTGTATTCATAGACTTGAGATGAACGTTTCAGTTGTTGCTCAGCAGTTCTTTGGTTTAGTTTCTAGATGTCATGTAAATATATATTGGGCAATTCATGCAGTTCTTCATGCAACTAAAGTATAAACGGAAAGATCTGTATGAGTAGAAGAAAAAAATCAAGCACTGGGAAACAAAGTTAAAATTGTAAGGAGAGCTGTGTCCTTCAACAAGGATCATGTCTTCACTCTTCCTTTTCCAGAATGGATATTGGATGGATACTTTCTGTCAAGAGGAATATGGTTACATCTGTAAAATAAAACCTTTGGAAATTCTTTCTGAACCAGGAGATGCTGACCCAGGTTGCCAGAATGTAAGCCAGAAGTAAATTGTTTAGAAGTTTACTAAAACTGGTTAGCCTCACAAAGTTGATGCTTCATCCTCAAATTATGTTGTTTTTGAGAAGATTTCAGCAGTTACTGTTCTTGAAGGTTTCGGGCTGGTTTTCCTAACTAAGTAGGGGTGGGCCCAGTTTTTTATTTGTATTTATTTATTTATTTATTTATTTAATTCAATTTATACCCCGCCCTCCCTACCAAGGCAGGCTCAGGGCGGTTTATGCAATACATAAAGATACAACTAAAATCCATCATAAAACTCATTATAACTAATCAAAAGCTTGTCTCTGATACTTCTGCTTGTCTTCTCCCTGTCTCCACACAACGACCACATCACTCTCTTCCCCTACATATCAGGTTCAATCTTGATGACTTCTTCCCTCTTCTCTGCTTGCCAAGGAGAAGAGTCTTTGTTCCACTTTTGTCCTAAAGGGCTGTGCTACTGGCCTAAGAAACCTTTACCACTTACTCTATGACAGGTGTGTCAAACTCATTTGTTATAAGGGCCGGATCGGACATTAATGAGAACTTGTTGGGCCAGGCCATGTGTGTCATAAAGCGTAATGCCAGGTAGCAGAGATATAAACTTTATAAAGGACACAAATATAAAGGGGTTTTTTTTACTTAAAATAAAAACGTGCTTAAAACATTAGCACTCTTGCAATATTTTGTTTATTTAACAGTGTCTGATAACTGACGCCTCTTGCTCTGAATTATTGCATCAAAATATCTGTGCTCTTGCAATCTTGAGTATGCTGTTCAGGTGTGTATCTGTAAGCTGCAAACCTACAATGATGCAGCGACAGCAGAACTGGAAAAAGAAGCAGAAGACAGCCAGTTCCACTGCGGGCCAGATAGAAGCCCTCCGGGGGCCTGATCTGGTCCCCAGGCCACATGTTTGACACCCCTGCTCTAGGGCCTATTATGGATGGGTGTTTTCTGTTGTTTTCACTATGTGTGTCTGTCAGGTTTTCTTAGTCATTCTACACTGATTTTCCTCGCTTCAGTGCTCAGTTTTCTGACTGATGTTTCCTCAGGTTTTCTGAGAGTCCTTTTGTGACTATTTTTCCCTTGTTTTGCTTCCAAGCCGAAGGTAATTCAAAAGTGTACAGAGTCCCTTGGAAGTCCCCCTTTACACTTTTGCCATCCCTTGAAGGTCACTCCCTGTCCATATCATGGTCATTCCACCCACACTGCACCTTCCATCATCTGCCCCCCTTCATCGATGTACAAGCTCCATTTCCCCTGCGTTTTTTAATTTTTAATTTTTTTACAAGCGGCATGAATCCAGTGATTTAAAATTATCACTAGTCTTGGATTGCTGAATAAAAAAAATTAAAACAAACAATGGGGGAAGTTTAAAAGAAGCTGTACAAGGTTTAGTTCCCTGCTGGTATTGACTTGAATGAGGGATTGGAGAGGAGGCAAAGAGCATTGTCCCAACTGCAAAGAGAAAAAAAAAGGTATTTCAAGGATGCATGCAAACAACCTAAAGGAGGGGGGGGGGGGGGCGCAGAATTAAATTGAAATGAGATGTAGAGAGAGAGAGAGACTGGGATGGGAAGCCTAAAGCTTTGAAAACATTTTTCCCTTTAGTGGTTTAGTGAACTGAGGCCCCTGCCACACGGCAGAGGAAAAGCCGCCAAAAAGCGTGGCTTTTAAAAACCGTGCCAAAGTTGAAATGGCGCGGCGGGATCCCACGGATCCCCTGGCCGCGCTGCAAGGACGCGCCGGCGATCAGACTCCCAGTTTGCGGCGCACCCCCTCATGGATCACTGCCTTGTCGTGGCAAGGGGGCTTGCGCAGTTCAATGAAGCTGTGGGCTATGCCGTGAAGGGCCACCCAAGACGGACAGGCCACAGCAGAGAACTCAGACCAAGCGTGATCCACCTGGAGAAGGAAATGGCAACCCACTCCAGTATTTTTGCCAAGAAAACCCCATGGACAGTATCAAAAGGCTAAAAGATATGACGCCGGAAGATGAGCCCCTCAGGTCGGAAGGTGTCCAATATGCTACTGAGGAAGAGCAGAGGACAAGTACAAGTAACCCCAGAAAGAGTGAAGCGGCTGGGCCAAAGCCGAAAGGACCCTCAGTTGTGGATGTGTCTGATGGTGAAAGGAAAGTCCAATGCTGCAAAGAACAATACTACATAGGAACCTGGAATGTAAGATCTATGAATCAAGGTAAGCTTGACATGGTCAGAATCAGTGAACTAAAGTGGACAGGAATGGGCGAATTTAACTCAGAAGACCATTATATCTACTACTGTGGCCAGGAATCTCGTAGAAAAAATGGTGTGGCCTTTATAGTCAACAAGAGAGTGCAAAAGGCAGTACTGGGATACAATCTCAAAAATGACAGAATGATTTCTGTCCGATTCCAAGGCAAACCATTCAACATCACAGTAATCCAAGTCTATGCCCCAACCACTGATGCAGAAGAGGCTGAAGTGGACCGGTTCTATGAAGACCTACAACACCTCCTAGAACTAACACCAAAAAATGATGTCCTCATCATCATAGGGGACTGGAATGCTAAAGTAGGAAGTCAAAAGGTAACTGGAATAACAGACAAGTTTGGCCTTGGAAAGCAAAATGAAGCAGGGCAAAGGTTAACAGAGTTTTGTCAAGAGAACACACTGGTCATAGCGAACACCCTTTTCCAACAACCTAAGAGGCGACTCTACACATGGACATCACCAGATGGGCAACACCGAAATCAGATTGACTATATAATTTGCAGTCAAAGATGGAGAAGCTCTATCCAGTCAGTAAAAACAAGACCTGGAGCTGACTGTGGTTCAGATCATGAGCTACTCATTGCAAAATTCAGACTTAAACTGAAGAAAATTGGGAAAACCACGAGGCCATTCAGGTTTGACCTAGATCGCATCCCTGATGAATATACAGTAGAGGTGAAGAATAGATTCAAGGGTCTGGATTTGATAGATAGAGTGCCTGAAGAACTATGGACAGAGGTTCGTGACATCGTACAGGAGGCAGCAATCACCACCATCCCAAAGAAAAAGAAATGTAAGAAAGCAAAGTGGCTTTCTGATGAGGCTTTACAAATAGCAGAGGAAAGAAGGAAAGCGAAAGGCAAAGGCGAAAAGGAAAGATTTACCCAACTGAACGCAGATTTCCAGAGAACAGCAAGGAGAGATAAGGAGGCCTTCCTGAATGAACAGTGCAAAGTAATAGAAGAAAACAATAGAATGGGAAGGACTAGAGATCTCTTCAAGAAAGTTGGAGAAATCAAGGGAGCGTTCCATGCAAAGCTGGCCATGATAAAGGACAAAAACGGTAGGGACCTAACAGAAGCAGAAGAGATTAGGAAAAGATGGCAAGAATACACAGAAGAACTATACAAGAAAGACCTCGATGTCCTTGACAACCACGACGGTATAATCACTGACCTCGAGCCAGACATCCTGGAATGTGAAGTTAAATGGGCCTTAGAAAGCATTGCTAACAACAAAGCTAGTGGAGGTGATGGTATTCCAGCTGAGCTATTCAAAGTCTTAGAAGATGATGCTGTTAAAGTTCTGCACTCCATTTGCCAGCAAATTTGGAAAACGCAACAGTGGCCACAGGATTGGAAAAGGTCAGTATACATTCCAATCCCAAAGAAGGGCAATGCCAAGGAATGTTCAAACTATCGCACAATTGCACTCATATCACACGCTAGCAAGGTCATGCTCAAGATCCTACAAGCTAGGCTTCAACAGTACGTGGATAGAGAACTACCAGAAGTACAAGCTGGGTTTCGAAGAGGTAGAGGAACTAGAGATCAAATTGCCAACATTCGCTGGATTATGGAGAAAGCAAGAGAGTACCAGAAAAATATCTACTTCTGCTTCATTGACTATGCTAAAGCTTTTGACTGTGTGGATCACAACAAACTATGGCAGGTCCTTAAAGAGATGGGAGTACCAGACCACCTCACATGTCTCTTGAGAAACCTGTATAAGGGCCAAGAAGCGACAGTTAGAACCGGATATGGAACAACTGATTGGTTCAGCATAGGAAAAGGAGTACGACAAGGATGTATATTGTCGCCTTGCTTATTTAATATATATGCAGAGTACATCATGCGAAATGCTGGCCTGGATGAATCACAAGCGGGAATTAAGATTGCTGGGGAAAAGATCAACAACCTCAGATATGCAGATGATACCACTCTAATGGCTGAAAGTGAAAAGGATCTAAAGAGCCTCTTGCTCAGAGTAAAAGAGGAGAGCGCAAAAGTGGGCTTGAAGCTCAACATCAAAAAAACTAAGATCATGGCATCCGGCCCCATCACTCCTTGGCAAATAGAAGGGGAAGCTGTGGAAGTAGTGACAGACTTCACGTTCCTGGGATCCCAGATCACCGCAGACTGTGACAGCAGTCATGAAATTAAAAGACGCCTGCTCCTTGGGAGGAAAGCGATGGCGAACCTAAACAGCATGATAAAAAGTAGAGACATCACCCTGCCAACAAAAGTCCGCATGGTCAAAGCAATGGTATTCCCAGTAGTCATGTATGGCTGTGAGAGTTGGACTATAAGGAAGGCCGAGCGCCGAAGAATAGATTCTTTTGAACTATGGTGCTGGAGGAGACTCTTGAGAGTCCCTTGGACTGCAAGAAGAACAAATCAGTCAATCCTCAAAGAAATCAACCCTGACTGTTCCCTGGAAGGCCAGATAATGAAACTGAAGCTCAAATACTTTGGCCACCAAATGAGAAGGGAGCACTCACTGGAAAAGACCCTGATGCTGGGAAAGATTGAAGGTCAAAGAAGACGGGGACGGCAAAGGATGAGATGGTTAGACAGTGTCAGCGATGCAACGAACATGAAATTGAGCCAACTTCGGAGGACGGCGGAAGACAGGAGAGCCTGGCGGGAGATTGTCCATGGGGTCGCGAAGAGTCGGACTCGACTGTGCGACTGAACAACAACAAAAAATTGAGATGAACCACCTCGGTAGGTGGTTCCAACTTGATGCAGATTATCGCGTGGATGGGCCAGTTCGGGGACGGAAGCACTACGCTTCCCAGATGTTGTGGTGTGATCGCGGCCCTTTGCTCTGCCCCCGAACCGTCCCGCTCCCGGCCCAAATCCCCTCGTGTGAACGGGACCAAAGTATAGGGGGAGGAATATTTTGGCAGTCTCTGGAAACCTAAGATTAAAATGGCAGCTGAGCCACATGGATCTTCTGCAAACCACTGAACTTGCTTGGGATCGATCCATTTGGAGAAAGAGTGCAATCTGCAGGGGTTTAAAAAACTGCCAAGATCACAAGAAGTGTCCATGATCAAATTACAGAATCACAAAGAGAAAACTACACAAATTTGCAAGGAAGTGCAGGAAATTAGCATTACTATGCAGTTGCGCTAGGGTATTGGTGAAAATACCCCCATTTTTTCAATTTAGTAGCACAAGACTAAAAAAGCGTCTTCCAGAGGACTCCTCTCCCATGCAAATTGCAGCCCTGGGCAAAGCATGGTGGAGTTGCAGCAGACTTTGCACAGGCGCACAGGCACACACACACGCACGTTGCCAATGATCACAGCTTGCAATGCCAGTGTCAGTGGGTTCTGCTATGCATTCTGTTCACTCAGCATGTTTCCCCATACTATGAGATTGTGTGGCTCTTTTTCCCATTTTTCACAGTGGCCGATAGCACAGCAGAGAATTCCCTAGTGCTTGGCAGTATAGAAAATGGGGTTCGCAGCTGCTGTCAGTTTAAAAAAAAAAAGGCTTGTCAATTTCTATATAGGGTTCTACCCTTTGCCTGCATTCCTTTCTGTTCCCTTTCATTCATCAAACTAATGCTAAAATGCATGTGCAAAACCTGAACCATGAGGATTTAAATGGAAGGCACTTGCTAGATGGTACCACACAGATGTGACAGAGCAATTGCATAAGTTTTAAAAAACAACTTTGGACACCACCACCCAGATGTCACTTGTAGAGTTAGGACTTGAGGCTGTATGTGGATGTCAGCATTCCCTATTGATTGTTGCACTAACATGAGGTCAATAATTCTTTTTTACTGACAGGGTTGGAAAAGGCATGGATTCTATTGTTACTTAAGTGGACAAACATTGGGGACATTTTCAGAAGCAAAGAAAATCTGTGAAATAAACAAGGGCTCCCTGGTGTTCATAGAGGACAGGTACTGAAAAGAATTTTCTCTGTTCAAAAGCAAAAGGGCAACCAAATGAAAAGAAAGACTCCCGAAGCTGTGGCTGTGTGGTACACTTAGCACTGGGAGAACCCCACGCAAACAGTTGAGATCAGCATTAAGCTCATCCTTTGTCTTTTTGACTAGCAGGATTGAAATAAAATATAACGAACGTCCACCGGGACCTTAAAGACTAACAAGATTTATTTCAAGCCTATTTTGAGGTCAAGTTGCAAGGCTATAAATCCTTCTCTGTTCCAGCTTATAAATCTAATCAGGCTGGTTGTTATCAAGCTGGTCTTGCATTATTGTGCTCCCACAAACTCAAGGCTGTGAACAGAATACACAGTCTTGCCTTGCGGAAGGTTTGGGGGAACCCCTTATATATGCCACCCTACGTAGTTAAAGAAGCTTGGGCTGGTAACTGGGATGCCCTTTTTGGTATGCTAGAAGATTTAGAACAAGAGTACCCAGGTGTGGCTGTTTTAGTTGCAGGAGACTTTAATGCTAGAATAGGAACAGATGGGCCTGCACTTCCTAGGAAGTTGGGCCTTGATGATGATAATGATCTGCCCAGTTGTCTGTCCAGTTACAGATCTTCTAAGGATTCCCATATTAATCAAGCACAGATTCAGCTTGCCCAATTATGTCTCAGATTTAATCTTTTGATTTTTAATGGTATTCCCCCCCCCTTTGATTCTCTTGGGTAATTTACCTATGCTTTGAGATGTGGTTGCACCGTTATAGATTATTATTTTATCTCATTAAGTTTTTGGGAATCACTGAGATTTTTCTCAATCGAGGACCGCATAGAAAATGACCACTCCCCTTTGTTTCTTGTTATCAAACTCTCTGCCACTTCAGGAAACAAGGGTTGTCAAAGATCTGATACAGGCACTGAGGCAGAAAAGAACCAAAGAATTTATTGGACAAGTACGGTAGCACCTAAGCTCTCTGGGTTTCTAAATGATAAATTACTAGGTGACTTCCTCTTATGTGCATAGGATCAGGCGCTCCAAGTGGTGATACAGGCATATGAAAGTACCATGGTTTAACTTTTGGATTTTATTAGGCCTACTTCGAACCAACGAGGAAGGGGGGTAAATGTATGTAGCTGGTTTTATAGGGAATGTCTCGAGATGAAAACACAGGTGCATGCCCTTTATCCAAAGTATAGGAAATTGGAAACAGCATGTTTAGTGAAGGAATATTTTGATTCAAAACTTCGATTAACACAGCTATGTAAGGATAAGCAAATGGCCTTCACCCAAAGATGCTGGAAGACACTTATTCATGCTACTGTCAGTAATGACATGATAAAATTTTGGGCCTTGATTTCAGGCTACATGGGTGAGAAATAGGGCTCCCAAATCTCGCCAAATCGCGGCGGGGGATCTGCATGTCTTTGCAGAATCTGTGCCGCGGGGACGGCGAGACGCGTTGCCCCGCCTTCACCAGGACATGACGCTACCCATTGCTCTGGCAATGGGGCTGTTTGGACAGGCTTCTGTCAGGGGAAATCTACTCTGGACCACTGTGCTGTTTTAAGTCATCTAGTGAACAAGTACAGCAAAGAGAGGTGCTCAAAGTTATTTGCAGCCTTTCTAGACTTGAAGGAAGCCTTCAACTCCATCCCTAGAGACCTTTTATGGAAAAAACTAAGGGACTTGGGTATTGGTGAGAGCTTGCTTTTCCTGATTAGAAAGCTCCACTAGAACACTTCTTGTCATGTGAGATGCTCCAATGAGGGCGACTTAACCCCTAAGATTCCAACAAATGTTGGAGTAAAACAAGGCTGTATTCTAGCTCCTCTATTTAATCTTTTTGTGAACAATCTAGACTGTTATTTGAAAACCACTGATGGTAATAGTCCTAAAATAGGGGAGATCCATCTCCCATTGCTTCTCTATGCAGATGATGTGGTACTTCTTTCCCTGACTCAGGTGGGAATGAAAAGACTCTTAGTCCGCTTTCTTGAATATTGTGAGGTTAATAAATTAACTTTAAATTTTGGGAAATCTAAAATCATTGCCTTTGGAAAGATGTGGAAGCCTAATAAATGGAAAGTAAGAGGTAACCTGATCAAGCAGGTTTCGAGCTTTAAATACCTGAGCTTTAAATACCATAGTCTTAGTTGGACAGTACATAAAAAGGAAATGACCTAATTGGTTAATAGTACCATGCTTGCAATCTCTGGTTTTTACTATATGAAGGGTAATCAGTATGTCCCCGCAGACCTGAGGATTTTCAATCATAAGATTAGTGCTAAACTGATGTATGGGGCTCCAATCTGGATTTTGGCGATTAATAAAGAAATAGGAAAAGTTCAATCTAAATTTCTATGGAAAATATTAGGTCTTCCCCCACGCGTATCTTATGCGGCTATCTGTTTGGAGACCAATCAGACTCGTCTAGAAACAAAAGCTTGGATTATGACATTTAAATTTTGGCTCAGGTTACATTTTAGTGCTAATTCCAATCATCTCACAAATGCTTACTGAGTCTGCATCCTCGGCATGGTTTTCCCATATAGAGTAAGATCATGCGTATAGGAGTTAATTTTGGAGAGCTTCTTCAGTTGTCAGAAAGTTCAGCCTTTCACTTGTTTAAACAAGGACTCCTCGACATAGAACATCAAGAGCTAATTAGCCTGACTTCAGGTAGATGCTCCCCCTTGAAGATACGGTTTCCTCCCCAAGGGTCTATTGTGGAATATTTTTTTGGTTTAATCATTCCTCACTATCGAAGAGCTTTTATGTTAAGCCATTTTAATGTGTTGCCTTTGGCTGTACTGGGTGGTAGGTTCTCCAAGATTCCTTATTTCGATAGACTGTGTCCCTGTGATGTTAACGAAATTGAGAGTCTAGATCGTGTCATTCTACACTGCATCTTCTATCGAGATGCTCGAGTATTATATCTTGAGCCTTTGTTGAGGAATCTAGCAAATCATTCTGATTAATGAAAGATATCTTATTTACTCTCTACTTGCTCCTCAGTGATTATGGAAATGGTGGCCAAATTTTTGTTTTGGGCTTCTAAGAGAAGGGAATGTATCATTAACTGCATATGACTTTGTAATTCCTTGCCTGTCAGTTTTAACATAACATGCCAATAAAGGTCTGATTGATTGATTGATTTCAATATGAGCTTTCATCAGTCGTAGCTTACTTCATCAGATACACTAAATACGTTCCTATACTAGGTGGTGGCTGCAGATGAATGGCAAAGGCAGCAAGGAGACATCACATTAGCTGGCAAGTAAAACCAGACAAGCTTGCACTGTTGCTCATACCGGGTTTGTCCTGCCTAAAATGTCTAGTCATCAGTCCCAGCAAGTCAGTGCTTGCTTATTCTCCCAGGGCAGGAATTAGAACTGCGGGGATTGAGACATTTGCTGTAATTGGATATGGCATTCACAGAAGACAACCTTTTCCATTTATTCCTGATTTTGGGGTAGGAAAGTACCAGTATTAGATTCAGATCTGTGAATTCCCCCCCCATTTCTGGAATTCTGGGAACACCATATTTCAATTGGGGAACCAATTTGTGGTTCTGATGCAGCTATTTTTAAAGATAATGGCACCAAATTTGCACAGAACACAGTCTGCCCCTCTAACGTAAGGGCTCGCTAAAGGTTCAAGCAGAATAGACAAAGAGGTTTTATGGACTCTTGGTGCACTCCACTGTTTCCCATGGTGGGGTTGGGGAAAATGACAATGGCCAAGAAGGCCACTGGCTTTCAACATAATACTTGGCTATACCTGGTTTCTTTACATCATCTTACAGTGACTATGCTCAAAATGCTGCATTTGCCAACCCTCCTTGCTGTGGTTTCTTGTCTCTTTCACAATCAAGAAAGGCTTCCTTTGCAGAAAAGCACCACCTGTCTCTGCAATCTTTGAAAATACTTTGAATTGTTCACAAAAATAGAGTATGTGAATGTGTGGTTGCATGCAATGAATCAATCATCCAGTTACTATGAGACACATCCCCAGTGAGCATCCACTGTAGGGGTTCCTTGATTATTATTTGAGGATAATTATTATTTGAGTTCTTGGTGTGTGGGGTCTCTTGGTTTGCTAACACTGTCATCTGGGTGACAGTTCCAGGTAGTCAGCTTCAGGCCTTAAAAATTCCTTCTTAATTCCTAAGAATCCCAGATTTCTTTTTACCATTCTGGAAATCATGGTAATGACCCAAAGCAGAAATTTTGGAGTATATTTTCAGTTTGGGAATACTGAGATGCAAACCCCCTAGTAAAAAACAAAGTAGGTGGCAGTGGGTTGGAGAGGGGCAGCATCTGATAACTCTTTGTGGAGCACATGAGAGAGAATTCCTATTAACTGCATGACAGTGGAACGGATATTGTAACTAACCTGCAGTCCATGGCTTAGACGACTTACTTTCTGGAATAATCTGTTCCATGCATCTTTTTTTTGTCTGCTACAAATTTGATTGATTTGTTATCTATGACAACTCCTTTGCTCAGGTTTTTATTTTTTTATTTTTATTTAATGAGATTTTTATCCCGCCCTCCCGGGGCGGCTTACAACTCATAATTTCAGCAACATATAATACCATAAAATACAATGTTAAAATTCAATATAAATCCAATATGAAACCAACAATAAAATGTATAAAGTGCTAGTCATTATCATGTCATTATTATATCATTATCACATCAACTCCACGCAGCTTCAATGTTAGTCATTGTAACTTCAGCTCCATTCAGTATCAGATGTCATAGGGAGCTAGTATCGTAAATCTATTCCACTTCAGATGTTATAGAAGATACATCAGCTGTCATACAATGAAGGAGGGACTGCCTCGGGCTGTAGTTAGGGTCCAGCGGATCAAGGCTCTTGTCATCAGATGGTAGTCATGGTGGTGGCAACAGTAGTGGTGGCAGCTCCAAAAGCCTGACTGGAAGACATATCTAGCTAAGCCTTGCATTAACTCTGCTGGCCACGTAGGTGATGCGGATTCCCCTGTTTCACGCTTAAGTCGAAATGTCAGTTCAAATCCAAAACCACTTGGCCCATCTGGCCCAGTAAACTCGTGTACTCTGTTGTCGCCATACAAATCACTTAATCCAAAGCTCATGTGTCAATTCTATATGCAAACACTGCATCTTTCATTGCCTTGAGCAGGACTCTGGAAAGACAACTAAAATAAGCAAGCAAATAAATAAACTGTCCATTTGCAGCTACAATACACAAATTCTCCATAAAAACAGAGATTTTTTTTAAAAAGAAAGAAACAGTTTTAATATACTGGAAAGGGAAATTAAACTATGAATGTTCAAGATCAACTTCATGCAAATGTCAAAATACTTCTAATTTAAGACCTATGAAGTTCTTCCATAGATTTCCTAACCCTTTAGATTAGAGCCTTTCAAGTGAGGACCTTGAAGCTTTTAAATATACCCAATATATTTAATTGGGTATAATATACCACTTGTAGCTTTTAAATATACCCAAAAGACTATGGAAGAGAACCTTAAACTAGTGTGGGCCACTTCATGCTATCAGACTAAACAGTTGTCTTTCCCCTAAAGCAACTAGAGACAAAATCAAAATCCCTAAGCTGCCTAAGAGCTCTCTAAACCCTATCTGAACAAAAATCAGTTAACCTGGTCTTTTTAATTCTACCTTCTCCCCTTTCTCCCACCAAAGGTTCCCAGCACCCTGACTGACCATTGCTGGCTTTCTCTACCAGACCACCAGGGTACAAAGGAGACTAGCATATATTAAAAGGGAACAGGTTTGGCTCTAACTATTAGAGGTGGCCTGGCCCAGTGAGGGAGTGGAGAGTACAAAAAGGATAGATGTAGGTATAGAACTGGTTCTTACAACTAAGTGTGCAGGTTGAGGGACGATTTGCATATCCTCACCCTCTGTATATCGAACCTTTAAGGAAAAGTGCAATCTATTTATCTGTGTAGTCTCTAGTTCACACAAAGAGTAGATATTTCTCTCTAGTTCACATAAAGTTTACAGCAGAGAATGTTTCCTGACACACCCAACTAGAGTGTGTGTGGATTATCAATTCAGTCTAAATGTTCAGTAAAATCAGCAGAAGGATCATTTTGCCCACACTAATTACCTATTCTGTTCTACAGATATGAACAAGCCTACCTAACTAGTCTAGTTGGGCTACGTCCAGAAAAGTATTTCTGGATTGGCATATCAGAGATAACGGAAGGCTGGACATTCAACTGGACTAATGGACACTCAGTTACATTTAGCCACTGGAACTCAGGGATGCCTGGTAGGTACCTTTGTAGTGAACCTGCTGCAGGGAGTGACACCGACTGGCTGGAGGGCTCTTTGGGGAGATGGAGCAAAGTGAGCCACAGTCGTTGAGATGGTTACAGTAGAGATGAGAGAATGTGAGGCAGGAAACTGAGAGCTGCTGAGAGTTTTTAAAAATGGCAATTTTTGAGAGGAAAGGAGATAAAAAAAAGAGGAAGGAGATCCAAGGAAAAGAAAGCTGAGTGGAAAGACAGATGGTGAAGAAAATGGGATTTGAAGAAAGGTTCCCCAAGTTTAATACGGTTGAGACAGTGATCTAAAACCAGTAGAAATTAAATTCTGTTACATCGATATACTCTGGGGGGTTACTTTCTCAAACAGAGCGTGTCCATTTAAGAAAAATTGGTACATGTCTAAAAAGAAGTTTAATTCCATTGACTTTCCCCAAGGACAAAATCATGGCTGTGTTGCTATGAGAACTGGAACTGCAGCTGGATTGTGGGACATTGTGAGCTGTGAGGAGAAGGCAGCATTCATCTGTAAACAATGGGCAGAAGGTGTGACAACAACTCTTGCCCCAACAACAACCACACTGCCCCCTTGCCCAGAAGGATGGTCTGGAACCGAAACAGCAAGTTCATGCTTCAAAGTAGGAATACAGTTTCTTGTGTCAAGCTACGGTACATACTAGCTTAAGCAACAAAGTAGAAAATGCTGTCAGGAAACTTTTCAGGAACTTCCTATTGTCTTTTACTTTAAAAGTTTTACCATCATTCTTATTTAAGAATGCAGTATTTATTTAAGTGCAAAGTTTTCTTGATCATCTATGACTTTTCTAGAACTGTCAATGCCTTGTGTTTTAAAGTTCTGTAAGGTGCTTTAGGATAGTGGAGGAGGCAGTCCCAGTCAGCAGATTGCTGTAAGCATGAAACAATGTCATAAAAAAATAACCCTAGAAGCAAACTCAGGGATCACTGAATCCAAACTTATCTTGACAGAGAACTTCCATATCTAAATTACGTCCACTGGCTGCCTCTCTAAGTAATCTCATCTTTGAGAGGAATTCTACATGTCCTATATAATATTGCTTGATTTAATGTCATGTTTTCTAGAGTTTGGTTTCTCGGGTATAATTTTTTGCTAGACTAAAAATTGGAGACGTAATTTCACATATGAATCCAAACATACATTTTTTTTAAAAAAAAATCCTCTCTTGTTTCAGCTAAAGAAAAGCTCAGCTAATCTTGTGTCCCAGTGTTGAACTCTCTTTGCCTGATCAGTGAGGACTCGGGGATAGAACCATGCTTTATTTAGACATAGGAGGTGTTTTCAGGATTCCTCTGTACCTGTCAGCTGCCTGTAGAATGGGAGCAAAGAACTCAGTTGTATCTTTGTCCCTCCTTTGCGATACTGCTACATGTAACTGGGCATGAGAGGATGACTTTTGCTTTGAAGGACACAGAGTAGTACAAATGTCCAAAAAGGTGGCCTATGTTTTTAAGAAGCAAAAAGTCAAGCTCATCAAGTTGTTTATTTACATAATCATTTCCCCTCTTAGATACTGTTTCTGGCGATGTGGAATCAATAAGGAATTCTTACTCTTCAGTTATTTTGCTAGGTTTAGGGACATGTTCTACTCTATTCTTTCTCGTCCAGGGTGAGGCCTCCAAGTTTGTTAAGAGAGATGACTTCCCTTTTGGGTAGTATGACTGTACAGGGAACACCTGGTATCTTTTAAGATATCCCTGCATAAAAAATATTAAAGTTGGAATCTGGGGGGAATAGAAATGAAGCCTAATTCTATCACCTCTTAGAAATACCGGGATACACTCCACACATTTTAAATCAATAGAAGATGGGTGCTTATGTAGCAAATAAGAAAGATGTTCTCAGGCATTTCATTGACTTATCCAATTTATCACTCGCCCTTTATAGGGGAGGATGTTCAACACTATTTTGTTACGTTCAAGTGTCAGGGGGTGTGAAAGAGGATCCGAGTTTGATACAAATTTCAAATTGCCTTTTCCATGTTAGGCACCCACCCTTCTCTTCCTTGTCCTTAGACTGACATAACATCCCATCTTTTTGTTTGCATGGCTTTTGCGTTCTCATTGACAGATAACACTACTGCCTTCGCTTCTATACTCTTGTTTCCCTTATTTTACTTATTTCCCTTTCCTAGGAAATCCTCCACATATTTTGTCAATATATCTAATTTTTCAAAGATTTTCCCCACAGTATCAGAAATTAGTAGCATCTGAGTTGCCAGCATTTCCAAATTTATTTGTTTTTTCTTATCTTTATTTTTTCTCAAAAGTTCATTTAATTTGGTTATTTGAGAAGGAGAACCCAGAGGGGGATCAGGAAAAAATATTTAAAGGATTTGGTGGTGTCATATCTTCATTTGAAAGAGAGGCAAATCTATTGGAGGTTTTTATAGTAAGAAATTCCTCTATCTTACTCTGTTTAGAAGGGGGTAGTTTGTTCATGGAGGGCTTGCAACCTTTTCCTTCCCATTGTTAATATCAATCTAATAAGGTTTAACCAATTTCACTAGATAGATAGCCAAAATAAATTTAATAGAGGTTTTTAACTCCTTCACCTAAAATTATAATAGATAAAGACAACCAGATTAAAACCCATTGAGGTAATCCCTAGTGGGGAATAGAATATAAAATATACATTTTAAAAATATAGTAATAAAACACTGATAAAATAAGTAATTCAGAATTACTAAAACAATTATCCCTGCCAAAAAGGATAAAGATAATGTGAACAAATGAATAAATAAAACAGCGAAGAAAGGAGGGGATGAAATAGTGTCTCGTTCTCAAGGTTTCTCTAATAAACTAACTAGCAGCAGCAGCTTTGCCAAAGGGGGTGCAGAGAAACCTCCCAGCCTCTCCTATAGTTCCTGCCTCCCTCATCTGAGCTCAGCATCACATGCCTGTCAAGGTCAACCTCTTTCAGATAAAATTAGAAGTTGAAAGTTAAAAGCTAAAAGCTAAAACAGCCGCAGCCCAGTAAAACACAGAAAGAAAAACAAGATGGAAGTAATATTTCTATATAATAATTCTGTTTTGGTCATGGACTCTCCTGAACACTCAGAAGCTGTCCCAATCCACTGGCTGCGTTGCCCGAGTCTCGCCTCCAATATTCTAAACAGTTTGCTGTTCCTCTGCCCCAAAAGCTAGTCAGAACACAGAGGTCATTTCCGTATGTGGCCTGATTGGCCTTTGCAGGGGTCATTTCGTAGAAAAAGAGCTAGGGGAACTCATTAGCATAACTCATTAGCATATGCCACACCCCCTGACATCAGGGGCCCGGCGGTGGACCTGCAAGGCCGGTGGAAGTGCAAGGAAGCCCCGCCAAGGCCCTCCCTGGCCCCAGGCAGGCAGGGGTGGGGAGAGGCGGGGAGGAAGCAACTTACCCTCCCTCTTCTCCTGCATCCTCCTGGCTGAATGAGGGCCGGAAGTGGGGCGGCCGGAAGCAGGGGGCGGGGCTTCATCATGTGCCCCGCCCCCCGCACCTCACCCGGGGGAACTGCGATCCCCTGAGTTCCCCCTGAAATGACCTCTGGGCCTTTGCCTCTAACATTCTAAACAGTTCGTTGTTGCTGTTGAGAGTCATTGAATATGTCCTGAGGTAAAATACATATCCCAATTTTCCCTTAAACGGTCACAGGAGTTGCCAAAATATATATCCCAATCTTCACTTAAATGGTCCCTGGAGTTGCCAATCTCTCTGTGGGGCCTGGAGATCTCCCAGAAATTACAGTGTTCCCCAGCCACAGCACATCATTCCCCCTACAGAAAATGTCCCAGCTATTACAATGGGTGCTTTGGACAGTGGACTCTATGGCATTATACCCTACTGAAGTCCCTCCTCACCCCAAACTCTACACTCCCCAGGCTCTACTCCTCAAATCTACAGGTCTGTCCCTTTCCTTAGTATTTCCAGCCTCCCAGAAGAACCTGGAGATCTCCAAGATCAGTTCCCCTGGAGAGAATGGCTGCTTTGAGCAATGGACTCTATGGAATTATACCCTGCTGAAGTCCCTCCACACCCCAAACCCTTCCCTCCCCAGACTCTACCCCTCAAATCTACAGGTCTGGCCCTCCCCTTAGTATTGCCAGCATCCAGGCAGCACCTGGAGATCTCCAAGATCAGTTCTCCCGGAGAAAATGGCTGCTTTGGGCAATGGACTCTATGGCATTATACCCTGCTGAGGTCCCTCCACACCCCAAACTTTGCCCTCCCCAGGCTCTACTCCTCAAATCTCCAGGTATTTCCCAATCCAGAGTTGGCAACCCTGTAACTGGCTATGGAACCACTTTCCAGACCCTTGGAACCTAGAAGACATGGCATAGGAGGAGGTGCTTTTCTACTTTAGCTGCCACTGCATAACCCCAAGTCAACATAAGTCATGGTGGAGGGAACTATACCTGTTACCATGAGGCTGTCCTCCCATACTAGCCACTTGGGGCAGCAAAATGACTTGAGACAGCCCTGCCTTATAGCTAAGCAGAAGGAAATAAATACGGCTTGCATCCCTCTATTTTCCCCTTCCCTCTGCCGCCCCACCAGCCACAGCTAGGACACTTACCTGGACCTTCTTTCTACATAATAATAATAATAATAATAATAATAATAATAATAATAATAATAATAATTTAAAAAACTGTGATGCTGGAAATACCTTCCAACTCGCCTATTTAGGACCCTTAGTTCCCCCACCCTCTCCTCCTAAAATGGATAAGGGATGGAGTTGTAAGCAAAATAAATATAAATACAAAAGCATTGAAGCTAAAACCAAAGTAGAATAAAATACAACAGAAACAAAGTTACTCCCTCTCAGCAGAGCAAAGCCCACAAGTGTCTATTCTCTCTCAGCTAGAAACTGGAACTCGTCCTCTCTGGAAATTTGTTGTCCAAACTTATCAACCTTTCATAAGTCTTCCTCAGAGTGTTTTCTTAAACAATGCAGCATTTATATCTAAAACAAACAGTTCAAAATCAATTAAATGCTAACTGATATATAATCTTCCACCATCTTCCATTGTATTCCCATGCACCAATGCAGATTCCCCCTCCCCCAAGTGACACTGGCTCTACTCAGCAAAATCTGAAGCTTTCCTCCTGCCTAAGGGACTTTCCTCCACTGAAAGAAGCTCTCCGGGAAACTTCCATTAGAGGAAGGCTCCTTATGCTGGAGGGGGGCTTCAGACCACACTGAGCAGAGCAGCAAATACAAGCCACTTCAGCTTCTCTCACAACACACTGCGTGCCCCACCACTCATTTGAGTCACCATTGTCCTAATATTTGAGAAATGTTTCTTGATAGCTAAATTTCTTTTCCTGCAAGTCAGCTCTTTTGCCCCATATCCTACTGCCCTAGCACCTTTCATCAGCAGGTGACTTATCTCTGTTGTTTTTCAGTTCATTTATATAGATTCTCATCCTCTTTTAATCTCTTTATCTTTCGTTAAGTGCATTAACAAAAAGCAGACCAAGGTGTACTTAAAGAATTCAGCAAGTAACTCTGCTCTTGCTTCTCTGGTTCCTCTTTCCTGACACAATGCATTCAGTTCTTATCCTTTACTTGCTTTTTGTATTCCTGTCTCACAGATGTCTCTTAAATATGGGGGGCTGTCATCTTGCACCTCTGTATTACTTTATTGTTGTTGTTGTTGTATCATTTTGGCCTTTGACTCTTCTGTATTTACCACTCATACCTCTGTTCTCCAGTTTATCTACATCAATATGCCGATGGAAGGCCTCCTTTATGCTTGGAAGGGCACTTTAGGATCCAATCAGTTATGCTTGCTGTAGTTTTTCAACTAAGTTTGTGCTTCGTATGAGAGAACTTGTTCTAGTGTTTTTCTACCTTGCTTATGTAGAACTGTTGCAAACCAGTTGTATAACATTTGATTTATTATTCACATGAAGAAGGAGGTTTGATTTCTTTACATAATGTGTAATTTCTTGTAACAGTTTACCATTAGCAGTCCTTGAGGGTCTTTACAAGCAAGACACTTCAAAGGGCTGATTGTGTCCTTGAGGTGCAGGAATGATAGAGACCATAGCCCTTGTGTTGCTATTTTGTTGTTACTATAAAGGAGTTAGAGATGAAATAATTGCTGCACTCTTGGTTATGGTGCCAGGCCATTTAGCACAAAGCCTACTTGCCCTATTATGTGTTGGGAAAATGTATATATTACCAGAACAGTGGCTAGATTAGAGTTGCCAGTAGGGATGTGAGGACTTCTGCCACTCCACTGACAACCCACATTGGCCACCACCAACCCATACTTCCATACATGACACTACCAGTTTTTAAATTTTTATGTCTGTAAACAAAGAACCAGGAAGAAATGATAATGTATGGAATGTATGGAAGGACAGAAGAACTAATGAGTTTTCATCTACCATTCTGTTCTACCATCCCTAGTATATACCTCCTACACAAGAATGTTTCGTTGATACAAGAACCTGTTGGCAGAAACTTCCTTGCACTGGCAGAATGAAATGGAATGGAAGAACCAATCTAATGTATTCACTCCTTAGCAAAAGAATATGTCAATATCTAGGACATAGCAATGATGAAAGTTGCAAAAAGGTTATGGGTATCTGTAGTTGAGCACATTGCCATATATTTAAGAAAGGTTAACTTCCCCACATTTCCCATGTGCTAAGCTAGTTTTCCATATTCACTCAGTCCCAAAAAGTGGTCTAGTCATGAGTTTCCTTATTAAATTTTTTCACAGATGAGTTCATATGCAGATAAAGGGTGGGTATGATTTTACATTCAAAATAGGAATGAAGGCAAATCACAGAGATCCCTGTGAACTGCATTAGTGAATCCTATTTTGCATGTTCCAGACAGTGTAGAAATCAAATTTTACCTGAAGGTATTTTGTACAATATAAGGATGATAGTCCTGCTCAGGCACAACATCAGTAAGAATTTTCTCAGCAAAACTTTCTGATACATATAACATGGTCCTCTGTAGTTACAGCAGAAGACAGGAAATTCACAGTTTGACTTTCCCCACTTCTTGAATGTGAAGCCTGCTGTAAAGTTCTATTCTGTTATCAATTTTTAAAATGAAGGTAATAGCATAAATGTTTTGCCATTAGGAAAAAAATATGATAAACACACAGAACTCTTCCAAGATCAAAAATGTTGAAAAGTTGTTTGAATGTAATAACCTAGACATTGGTGGTGGCACTGGTCAAAGTGGTGGGATCTGATGAAGGCTCAGAAAAGGGGGGGCAAGGGGGGGAGAGAGATTATCAAGGTATGAGCCAAGATCTGTCAGGGGAATAGACAGGAATTAGCAATGTTCTGGAAGGAAAGAGTTGAAATTGGCACCAAAATATATCACTATACTTATTTTACACTTAGATTTTTAGAGAGAAAAAATACAACAAGAGAACTTGGTTTGAAGCTCGAGATTTTTGCAGAGAAATTGGAGGAGACCTGGCTTCCATCCATAGTGACAAAGAACAAAGCAAATTACAGGAATTGTGAGTGTCATAACATATCCTTTCTATCTCAGGGTCCAAAATCATTTCAACTGTTTTAGGAAAGCATCTGACGTGTGCACAGGCTGAAACATGTGTAAGCCTATTATATCACAATAGACACTGCTGGTGAATGCTGAAGGTCTGATGGGACATGACAGCAGGACATTATGAATGGATTTTGTTATGTTTTTTAAGCATAAAAAGGAGCAGTGGATAGACCACTGATTAACATCAGGGCTGTGGGGCATACTTTTTATGATCTCGTTTTGTGGAGTTGGTCTTTGCCCTGTGGGAGGGAAACATACAGCCACTGTGGGCTATGTTCTCCAATTGCATTTATATGCTTGAAGTAATAGCCAATGAATGCGTATCTTTAAGTATTAGGATCAAATCTTAGACTTGAACTTTGGCAGACAGCTGGGGATCCTGGTGATGGGAGCAGGGAAAGGTATGGCAATGGGACTCTATGGAATGGAAGTGGAGTGGAAGGAGATGGAGATGCTCAGTCCCGTTCCAACTTTCATCCCATCATAAGACATGTGGGTGAGATGGCTAGGAATACTCACACACACCCTTCAGCACAACACTGCTGCTGTGCAATGCCAGGTCCATTAATAATAAGACCTTGACACTGTGGGATTTAACTGCAGCACAAGAAACGAACCTGGCATGTGTGACCGAGACCCGGACAAGGGAAGGTGAAACAGTTGCCTTGAAAGAGCTGCCCCCTCCAGGTTTCTCAGACCTTCAGTCTTGAACAGTGGGGTGGAGGAGGTGGGGTAGTGATACTTATCCAACAGAGTTTTTCCTTCAGGGTGCTCCCCATCCTGATGACTACCGACATTGATTTTGTATGCCTGGTCTGGGACACTGAGGTGAGTCTGGCTGTCTGTTTGGTGTACTGTCCACCTAGCACACCAGCAGACAGCCTTCCAAGCCTGCTTGAGGCTGTAGCTGGCTGGGTCTTGGAATCCCCCAAGCTTGTAATCCTTGGGGACATCAACACCCATGATGATGCTGCCTCCTCACAGCAGGCTGTGGACCTGGTGTCATCCATGGCAGCACTGGGTTCACCCAGATTGTATCAGAGCCCACACACCAAGCAGGCCATATGCTGGATTTAATCTGCAGCATGGGGGTAGATATGGATCTGATGGCCAAGACGTTGGTGCCATGGTCAGATCATTGCACCCTGAAGGTTCAGTGGGTGTCCCCCTCCCCATCTATGCAGTGAGCAGATTTATGCTTTCTCGCAGAGACTAATGGACCCAATTGGGTTCCAAAATGCTCTGCAGGAACCAGTGCCCTCCAGCGATTCCTTAGATGAGCTGATAGAGGACTGGAACTCCCGTATCTCTGAAGCCATCTATGAAATCCCCCCCTGAGGTCCTCTCTGTCCCCAGCAGAAAACATCCCCTTGGTATACTACTGAACTTAGGGGGATGAAACAGGAACTCAAATGATGGGAGCAAGTTTGGTGGCAAGTTCACGATGAACTACTGTAACTTGCTCTACATGGGTCTTCTCTTGAGGCTGACTTGCAAGTTCCAACTGATCCAGAATACAGCCGCACAGGTCCTTATGGGAACCCCTCTCATGGCACATATTCAGCCTGTGCTGCACAAGCTGCACTGGCTTCCAGTGGAGCACCAGATCAAATTCAAGGTTTTGACCTCCAAGTTTTGACCTCCAAGGCACTTAGTGTTCAGGGACCCATATACTTTTGGGACTGCCTCTCTCAGTATGCCCCCAGAAGTGCACTACGCTTAGGAAGTAAGAACCTCTTGGTGGTCCCTGGCCCAAGAGAGATCTGGCTGTCCTCAACCAGGGCTAGGGCTTTTTTGGCCTTGGCCCCTGCCTGATTGAACTCTCTGCCAGAGAACATCCATGCCCTATGGGATTTGTTACCTTTCCTCAGGGCATGTAAGGCAGAGATGTTCTGCCAAGCATTTGGTTGAGGACAGCAATGGGTCAATATGTACTCTGGCACTATCCTACCCTCCATCCTCTGCAACCCCTGTAAGAGGCTTGTGGAAGCTGAATTTTTTTGTGCCATTTTGGAATGGATTGTTTTATTTGTTGATATGTATTTTTTGCAGGTTTTAATTTAACTTATTTATTTTATTTACCGTTGATGTAAGCCACCCTGAGTCCTGTTTGCAGGGAAGGGTGGCCTAAAAATCTAATTAAATAAATAACTCTTAAGTCCCTGGCAGTGGATTTGATCCAACCAGCAGTCTGGGAGAGTGAGGGCTGTTATTAGTAAAGTCCAAGGTATGATTCTTTTTAAAGGAATAGAATATGTGGCTTGAGCATACATTCCTAGTACAAAGATCCACTTAGGAGTTTATAATGTACGCACTTTATGAAATATTAATGAGTTGCCCCAAGATATAGTGTAACCCCCAAATTCTAGAGTAATGTTCACAAATTCAAAATATAAACCCAGTTTATTTAAATATTATTAACTCAACGCAACTGTGAAAAATATTCCCAAAACTATCAATACTGGTTCATTAACCAGTGTCCCCAGAGCAGAGAGTTCTACTCACAACCCACTTTGTAAGATGTGCAGACAGTACTGTGGGTTCATCCAGAGTCCCAGATATCCAGAAGGCCTTCTTGCAACAGCAGGAACTTTTCCTGTGAACATGCTGGATGAATCTTCAAGCTTGTTCATTGCCCTAGGAGTAGTTCCCCTTTCCTCCGGGCAAGATGAAGCAGGGCAGCTCTGTACTAGGGTGTTGATCTCAGGCAGTCAATGAAGAGTTCAGCTGTCAGCAATTCCTGCTCCAGATTCTTCAGCTCTTCTTAGCCACCACTGCTCTCCCAGGGAGGAGAGTTCAATTCTTTCCAACCAGCAGTTTCAGCTTTGTGTCCTTTCTGGATCCAAAGCCTAGAAACATTCTTTGCCTTTCAAAGAACACTACCTTCAGCGCACCTCAATAATAATCCCTTGTCCTGGTTTTCCGGTTTTGGCAATCACCATGGCAGTCGCTTTTTCCCGGACCTCCAGGAGAAGCCTGCCAGCGCCCACCGCTGGGAAAGAGCACGATCGGCCGCGCCACCCCAGGAGCCCGAGTGATGGGCTCCAAGCCATGGGGTGCTAGAGAGCCCTCCTCTGGCAAGATAAGCTGGTAAGGGGGGGCTACTCCAAGCCCCGATGGTCCCGCTGTGGAGCATCCTGTATGGGAACAAGAACAGCACACCAGAGCAAGCGTTTGGTGATCAAGCGCTTTTAGACACAAGCGAACAATCGTTGAAAATGTGAGTTTAAGTACAAGCGAGAACAACGAAAAACTGCACGGCCCTCCCAAAAGAAAATGAGGGGGGAGGGGATTCTCCTCCATTAAGAACTGTTTACAAGCAATTTTAAGCTAGAAAAGGGGGGGCACTACAAAAAGTGAATGGATTAAAATAAAGAGACTGTAAGAGCTTACCGCGTGATATAAGAACTTCCAGAGACTTTGACAAAGTTTTAATAAAAGTAAACAACTCTCAAACATGGCGCCACCTGTGAGGGACCAGAGAGACATACAAGCGAAAGCAAAACTTCTTCCTGGAAGTTCCAGCCCTGTGAGTTCTGTGCCTAGACAGGACTCAACTGCGGAACATCAAAGGTTGTTGTCGAAAGCACTTTGCCCTCTACTGGAGAAAATTACTGCAATTGACAATAAACTCGATACACAACAAGCACAAATGGCTGCTAATACACAGAAAATTGAAAAAACGGAACAAGAAAGAAATTGATACCAACTCAAAAAAGATGAATAAAAAACTACAGGCATTGGGGGGGAAATGCCAAATCAAAGAGTCTCGAGTACTACAGCTGCAAATGGAAAGGGCAAGCTATGTCTTGAGACTTCAAGGTGTCCAAGAAGAGAAAGGAGAGAATCTGAGACAGATTGTTACCGATGTATTAGCTCCCTTGGCAGAGATGACATCGGATCAACTTCAAAGCGAAATTGATACAGTCCACAGATTGTATACAAAATTTATCAGAAAGAATAGTCTGCCAGGGGAAGTTACAATAAGATTCTCCCAAAGAAAAGTGAGAGATCAACTATTGAAAGCATCTAATGGAACGACCTTGAAGATAAAATACAAAAACATAAGAGTATTGAAAGACATTCCATTTGAGATAAGAAGGAAAAGAAGGAAATACAGAGATTTGGTTTTATTTCTACAAAAGCACAATGTCTCCTACAAATGGCTAACACCCGAGGGATTAATTTTTAGATATGTAAATGGAAAAGAATGGCTTGACTCTGTTGAAAAGGCTCGTGAGTTTTTGCTTCAACATAACAGCCCGGCAGGAGAAGGTGCGACTAATGCTGCCAAAAAAAGCAAAGAAGAAGGAGAGGCTGGATCTTCCAAAGAAGACTCTGACTCTAAATTGGGGGCTACTGCCCCCAAACAAAGCTATCAGTTGAGACACAGAAAGGGGAAAAAAATAGATTGTTAATCTACTCTGGAATATCTAAAATAAATATATTGTATATCTTTTTACAGTCTTTTGATGAAAGTAGAATTGTTGTATCTAAATAGATAGATGATTATTTTCAACGAAAGTTAACTTGTGTTGAAGCTTAAAGGTAATTTTGCAAATGTATGTATGATCACCATCTCTTGGTTTTTTAGAGGGTTTTCTTTACTTTCTCCCTTAGACTGTAGTTTCCCTTTCCTAATTTCCTGTTTGTAGTTATTAGAAAAGCAATAAAAAAATCCGCTTTGGGGGCCAAAAAACCCACCCCTTGTCCTTTTTTATTTTTATAGATTTTTTATTGCTTTTCACTAAAAAAAACTACAAAAACGACACACTAAAAATTCAGAGTAGCAAGTTAAAATAATGAACTATCTTGCACTTTGGGTATTTCCCTATATATTCAAGTTTACAACAAATAACTTAATTACTTAATAATAAGTATTCAAATACAAAGAACAAAAAAATTCTTAATTTTAGTATCGCATTTGAGCAATATTATAAATTCTTAAATTTCTGACATAGAGAGGTCTTAGATCTTCATTTAGATGTCTTCTTGTCTTTACGCTTCTTCTTCTGCCAGGGGATTTTAACTTTATAAGATATGGGTGCAGCAGCTCCCATATCAGAAACAAAGTCAGAGTCAAAGATTTCCCCCAGGGACATCGAAGTAGATGAAGAACTGTCAGTGGCTGACGCCTGATGATCGCTATTTTCTTCTGTCGCCTTCTTTTCCTCTGCTTCTTTTCTTTTTTTGGTCGGAGTTTGGTGCTGCTTCAGGAAAGCTTATGCTTTAGAGAGAGAGAGTCAATCTTTTCCTCCTTCTCTTTGTAGTTGTATATAAAGACTTCTGGTAAAATCCATCAATATTGGACATTGTTCTTTTGAAGAAATGTTGTAATATTTCTGTATTGCTTCCTCTTCTTACGTATTTCATATGGTACATCTTTCAGTACTTTTATCTCTTCCTCTTGGATTTTTAATGTTGTGGCAGTAGATGCTTTAAGTATCAAGTCTCTTGTTGATTGTTTTGCAAATTTAACAAAAATTTCCCCTGGAAGATTATTATTTTTCACAAACTCTGAATAAGTTCTATAAATCATGTCTATGTCCGCTTGCAATATTTCAGGTTTGCTGTTAATCAAGGGGGCCAATGCTTCGTTTAAGATTTCTCTTAAATTTTCATCTTTTTTCTCTGGTACCCCTTGAAATCTTAAAACATATAAAGAGCTTTCCACTTGCAAGTTTAATAGTTGTTGTTTTTCAGAAGCTCTTTCTCTTTCAGCAATGTCCATTCTTTGATCCATCTCTTTGGTCTTAGTTTCAACTTGTATTAGCTTTTTGACCATCTTCGATTTTTCTTTAGTCTCTTTCAACTCCTTCTGCAAGTCATCAAATTTTTTGTTGAGGTTCATCCGCTGATCCAATAGGAGGCGCAAGGCTTCAGAAATCATACCAGCTAAGTTGGTGGTAGTTTCCGGTCTTCTGACCGGTGATGCTGTGCTGGCGCTTCCTGTGGTGCCTCTGCCTCTGGATGCCATTTCCCCCCCACGCTGTGACATTGTTCACATTAAGGTAAAAGTTCTTAAAAGTTCCAAGATTTCTCTCTAGGCTGAATAACGGGCCCCGCTGCAATCCGCTTTAGTTGGGTGGGTTTCTAACAGCTTGTTGTTGGCTTGCTTCCCATTTCACTGCTTTATCACTATGGGGTAGGGTTCTTCCTCCTGAGAATTTCCCCCCCCCTTCTCTATGGGGCTTTGCCATCTCACTGTCAGGTCTTCCACCCTCTGTACTTTTGTCTTTCTTTTGAAACTCATTGTTTTTTTCCACTGGATATCATTCCATAGGGAGAGTCCTTTGCTTAAGTCCTTGCATGCTCTGGTCCGGTAATGTCTCTGAGCACCATTGCTGGCTTCAGGGCAGCAGGACCTTCAGGAGCAAAAAAGAGCCTTGATCATTCAGCTGCAGCTTTGGGAGCGGCTCCTCCAGCGCTCCAGGCTAGAAGCTCCTTTCAAGAGCTTTGTGGGGGGGTTGAAAGCTTCTGAACCCCCTCCCTGCTGCCTAGATCCAAATCGCACCCATCGGAGCTTGATGGCAGGCATTCGTTTGCGAGTCACCGAAAACCGGAAGTTCCAATCCCTTGTCCTTTCAGCTAGCCCAGTCCTGCTTTATACCATCTCTCCTTGTCATGGTGGCCGTTTCAAAAGCATGCCCCATGAGCCTTTGCTAAACAAGCAAATTAGTACAAGCCTATGTATACATCAGCTATCTGCTAGTCTGGTCTGGCCGAAAGCATGTCTGAGTATCTGCAGTCTAAACATTAATATTTTAAATATTTCAAACATTCAAATTTTGAGTGTCATGAAATTTTTCCATATTTACTGGCTTCTACATAACATTTTGTTGAATTTTAGGACTGAAGATTCAACCTGGATTGGTTTTAATTCTTTGGACTCTGACATAGGGAATACTTGGAGTGATGGATCTCCTGTAAGTAGATTATTATTATATTAATCTCACCAAAACTGTGCAACCTTCAGAATCCATTTTTAAAGAATATTGAGGATAATCATTTGAAGATAATATTGAAGATAATATTTTCTTCCATGAATTTGAGACCACCTAATATAGGTCATTTGACCTGTTTGGTTAGACATGACAGTCCAAGTTCTTCTACACACATTTTACCGTGGGTGCACAACATTCATGAATTCCATTGTACAACAGATCATACAAATCTATCATTTCTAGTGAATATTACAAAAAATTAATGAACCTTTATTTTTGTTATAGGTTGACTTTGACAGATTGTTTTCATGGATCACTGATGAAAGACAAGTGTGTGCAAGAGTTCATGGTCGTTTTTCATTCTGGACGATGAAATCATGTAGAAGTTTATATCATTGGGCTTGCCAAGTGAAGAGAGGTCCGATCGCTCCTAATTTGCAACTGGTTGATTAAGCAAAACCCCGAAGTCATTTGCTTCATTTTATTTGTGACACTGCTTCTCAACCTTGTTTTACTTTATCATTATTATTATGGGGTTTGAGGCACAGCCACGTATTCCCCAAAATGGATTTTTGCCTGACTATTGGGTGCCAGATAAGGGCCCTTTCTTATGATATCTGCCCCTTCTGTTTTCAGGGATAATAGAAATACATAAGCAAAGACCAGAAATTGATTTTTCTGTAAAATGTCAAAAACAATCACTGCCCTTAACCTTAACCTTGACAGAAAATAAATTATTTGATTTAATATTAACGCAAACACACAAATTATGCCTTTATCTAACTGCAAGAACTCTAGTAGTCTAAAGACATAGTGAGTTAGATTGCTGATTATTCTTTTGCATGCTAGCATTATTTGCTCAGTCAAGCAGGAATCTATTTTTTCCAAAACAATTTATTAGGCTATATTAAATGGTCAAACAAAAAATCATATTATTATACATACATCCTTTTCTCCATTCCCCCCTTTATTGGCTTCCCACATTGCTCCAACCTCGAGCTCACCTTTAAGCTTCCTCCCTTTCCCCCTTAATCCTTTGATCACAGTTTACAGGTAACACTTTCAGTTAATATTATTCTTATATATTTAACCTCCTTTTGATACCATTAAGTTTTTCAATAGTTCTCAAAGCAAATCAAGTTGTCTCGTACATCCCAATATTTCTCAAGATAATCTTTAAAGTCTTTCCAGTCTGCAAAAAATTCTTCCGCTTCTACATTTTTAAGTTTCTTTGTCATTTTATCCATTTCAGCCATAAAAAGTAATTTCTTTATCCACTCCCCAATTTCAGGGATTCTATCTTGTTTCCAACATTGAGCATATATCATTCTAGCTGTTGTAATCATATACTACATCAAGGTCCTTTTAGTCATATTAACTTCTTCCATTTTAAGTCCCAAAAGTAATATTTCAGGTTCTTTCTTAAACTTACATTTTACAATTTTCTCAATTTCTGCATGTATCTCAGCCCAGAAGATTTTTGCTTTTTCACAAGTCCACCACTTATGGTAAAAAGAGCCCTCTATTTTTTTACATTTCCAACATTTGTTTGACATGTTACTATTCATATTTGCAATCTTTTTGGTGTCATATATCATCTATACATCATCTTATAACAATTTTCTTTTAAATTATTACATGTTGATATTTTCATAGCATTTTCTCATAAAAATTCCCAAGATAACATATCTATTTCTTTGTTCATATTAACAGCCCACTTTATCATCTGCTTCTTAACTGTTTCATCTTCTGTATGCCATTGTAACAATATCTTATACATTTTGGATATCAGCTTTTTACTTCCCTCAAACCAAACATTTTCAATTTCATTATATTTTTTCCTAAACTCAAAAGTTTTTCTATCTGTCTTAAACAAATCATAAATCTGTCTATATTGCAACCAATCATAGTTAAAGTCCAAGTCTTCCTCTTTCATATCAAACGTCTTCCCTGCAGGTTTCAAAATGTCTCTATATTGTATCCAGTCTTCACCTCTATGTGTCGTATATGGATTGATTACCTCTGCCAGTACTATCCAAAGTGGTCTCTCGTCCGTAAAATACCTTCTATACTTGATCCATGTATCAATTAATGTTCTTTTAAAATAATGGTGCTTGAAAAAACTGTTCATTTTTATTTTTCCATACCATAAATAGGCATGCCACCCAAATTTACAATCATGACCTTCTAACGGCAACGGTTTTCTATTATCCAAGGTAATCCATTGTTGTAGCCATGTTAAACAAACCGCTTCATGATATAGTCTAAAGTTTGGTAATTGAAATCCCCCTCTTTCTTTTGCGTCACATAAAATCTTCATCTTAATCCTAGGTTTCCTCCCAGCCCACACAAACTTAGAGATATCTTTCTGCCAAGCATTTAATATCTTTGCGTCTCTTACTATTGGGATTGTCTGAAATAAAAACATCAAACGGGGTAAAATGTTCATTTTAACCACCGAAATTCTCCCCAAAAGTGACAAATTTAATGTATTCCATTTTTTAATATCCTGTTGTATTTGGGGCCAAAGTTTATCGTAATTATTCTTAAAAAGGTCAATGTTCTTCATTGTCAATTCAATGCCTAAATACTTAGTCTTTTTGACAACTTGACACTGTGTCAGTCTCTGCAATTCCTCTTGTTTCCCACCCATCATGTTTTTACACATCACCTTAGATTTATTTTTGTTTACATAGAAACCTGCTAAGTCTCCAAACTCTTTTATTTTCTCCATGAGCAATGGTAAATTCCGTAAAGGATCTTCCACTATAAACATTACATCGTCTGCAAAGGCTCTATACTTATAAGAGAAGCCTTTGTTGGTCAAGCTCTTAATTTCTTTATCTTCCTTAATCTGTCTCAGCATCACTTCCAATATCCATATAAATAATAATGGGGATAGCGGACACCCTTACCTCATCCCCTTCTGTACTTGAAAGTGTTCCGTCATCTTCGCATTGATTACCAATGCTGCTCTTTGCTCCGAGTAGACTGCCTCAATAATGTTCTTAAATGGTTCTCCAATATCCATTTTTTCCATCACGCAGTACATAAAGTCCCAATTTAAATTGTCAAAAGCTTTCTCGGCGTCCACAAAGAAAAAACCAACCTCTTTTTCTGGATGTTTATCATAATATTCAATTACGTCAATCACCACTCTAATGTTATCTTTTATCTGTCTGTTCGGTAAAAAAACAGCTTGTTCTTCTTCAATAACATCCTTTAAATATGTCTTCAGTCTTTCCGAAATAATTTTCGCAAATAGTTTGTAATCATTGTTCAAAAGAGAAATTGGTCTGTAGTTTTTCACATTGGTTAAATCTTGCACTTCTTTAGGTATAAGCGAAATTGTCGCTTCTTTCCACGATTCTGTTTTTTTCTTTGTTGTTCTTATTTCATTCATCAAGAGTTCAAAAGTCGGTACTAGCCCCTCTTTAAGTTTCTTATAAAATTTTGCAGTAAAACCATCTGGTCTTGGAGCTTTCCCTAATTTTTCCTTCTGAATTGCCTTGTAAATCTCTTCTTTCATGATTGGGCTATTTAGCATTGTCTTAATATCATCTGAAATTTTTGTCGTCTTCATTTTGTCCAAATATTTCCTTATTTTATCTTTATCTATTTGTTTCTTTTGGAAAAGATTTGCATAATACTTGAAAAATGCTCTTTTAATTCCATTACTTTCCACGATTTCTTTATCTCCATCTACAATTTTGTTTATTATTTTCTTCTCCCGTCTTTTCTTCAGTTGCCACGCCAAAAATTTCCCTGGTTTATTTGCCCCTTCAAATGTTTTCTGTTGTAATTTTTTCAAGTTCCAATAAATTTCTTGATTCAACAATGTATTCAGTTGTTCTTGTAAAATTTGAATCTCTTTAATTATTTTCTTTTTCCCCAGTCTTTTCTTCAACTCTGTTTCCTTTATTCAAATTTTTCCAAGCATATTAGTTTGTTGTTCCAATCTCTTTTTTCTTTCTCTACTATTCAATGATATTAATAGTCCTCTCATTACTGCTTTATATGCGTCCCAAACTGTTTGTATCTGTATACCTTGGGTCATATTCATTTGAAAAAAATGTTTGGTTTCTTTACTTATAGTGTTTATGATCTCTTGCTGATCCAACAAGTCTTCATTCATTCTCCATCTAAATTGTCTTTTCTCTTCTTTAGATATCCATACTATTGGGTTGTGGTCTGAATTTACTTTCAGCATAATTTCCACTTTCCGTGTTTTTAAAGCTAATTCCCCAGTCGTTCATATCATGTCAATCCTTGAAAAAGAGTCATGTCTATTTGAATAAAATGTAAAATCTTTGATAGTAGGATTCCACTTCCTCCATAAGTCTTCTAACTTTTCTTGTTTGGCCAACTTAAAAAAAACCTTTTGTTAACTTCCCTATCTTTTCATCTGATTTCTTCGATTTCCGATCTAATTTATTGTTTATAGTACTGTTAAAGTCTCCCATTAATACAATTTGGTCGTAGGTCACCTGATCTAACTCTTTGATCAGATCTTCAAAGAATTTCTTTTTTGCACCATTAGGTGCATAAATGTTCACTATCAAAGTCTTCTTTTGATGCATAGTCAATTCCACTGTGATATATCTCCCTTCTTTATCTTTGAAAATTTCTTTGGGTTCTAGTTCCTTTTTTTTTTTTTTTTTTGAGCCCCCGGGGGGGATTTTTTATTATTTTTTCACTTTTTAAACACTACAAAAACTAGAACAGAAAAAAAGAGGAAGGGGAAAACTACATATAAGGGAGAAAGTAAAGAACCCACTACTAACTAAAAACTCAAGAGAGGAGATCTCCAACTAGCTTTTTATACTTCATTCAGACTTTTCATCTTTGTACTTCTTATGAACTGTGTCAATCTTTTAACCCTTTTAACCATCCCCAGTTACATTTAATTGCCCAATAACAGTGCCCCCCATCATCCCCTGAACCAAAGTTCTCAAAGGCACAATTCAGAGTCCTTCAGCCTT